CTGTCACATTCCCAATCTCCATCATGCCCCTGTGCAGTTGAATTACTTATGATATCATGTATGTGGCTCTAGCTCAACTCACCGGATGAATCATCATCCTCACCAGTATTCACGACTGAAGATAGATTCAGGGTACTTCTGCATGCCTGATTGGTCCTCCCTGACTTCATGACAGTCACCTTCCCTTTCTCATCCAGCATACCCTTAAACTGTGTGTGACCATATGCCAATGTCATTCACATTGTTCTAAGACCAACAGATACACTTTGTCTTTAACCAAAGTGTCTAAATAACCAAATGAAACACTTAATATATTATCTCAATAATGCTGTCGGTATAATCAATATCTGCATCTGCTTTCTTGATCTAATTGCTCCCCCATCACTTTATCTGAAAACTACATTTGATCTTTACACTTCCTGTGCGGTGACCATAGGAGGTTGACTAATTATAGATATCTTCACTTGTCTTTTGTATCCCAGATGACCTTTCCCGATAGTTTGTGGTCTTTGTTACCTCTACCAGAATGTGGTATTGGGTAAGGGTTGTTACAGAAGGTATTTCACTGAGACCAACCCTCCTTTGTCTTTGCTTTGCCTTGGGCCTATCTAGTGATTAACGGTAGAGGAAACATCACTGCAGAGTATCCCTAAGAGGCACTGGTCTTTGCTAAGAAGATCATTTATTGCATGATAGGCATAAGTAAGCTACAGGTCAGGAATAAATGTTAGTACCTCAGTGAGTTGAAACCGACACATCTGATCCTTGTGAAAATTAAAGTAGGACTCCTTGTCTGCACCTTGTTATTATCTCATGTTACTACTGGACAAGTCAAATCCCAAAATGAAAAATCTGACTTGATAGATAATTTTGATTTTGCAAAACATTACTGTGGCACTTTATCTTGAACATAGGTAAGGCTGCAGATTTGATTTTAACAATAACGGATACATTTGTTATATAGGACTATTTAAAAAAAAAAGTCCAAGCTATCGAAATAAAGACAATACAGTTTGAAAGATTTCAAAACATATGGCAAAGTAAAGTCCCATATAATCTCCAGCACCATCACTTTACAGTCGTAGAATCCCTACCATGTGGAAGCAGGCCAATTGGTCCACTGAATCCACACCAACTTTCTGAAGAGCAGCCCAATACCACATTCAGGTAGAGGTAGCAAAGAGCACAAAGTATCAGCAATGGTCATCTGGGAACACACACAAAAGATAAATGGAGATACCAATAACTAGTCACCCAAAAAAAAGGAGCAATTTTCCTTCCTTGTCCAATCTATGTTAACTGATTTTTTTTTTCTCTCAGTTCCTGTTCTGTGAGCTGTAAAGTCTTTTCCTTGAATCATCACCCTACTGAGATCTTAGACGCTTTCAGCTTTTAATAATGTATGAAAGTTTCCAACCAAACACTCCCCTGGTCTGCAATTGTAGAAGTTGTAACACTTTACACTGAGATTTATTCCCTTAACTGTTCTGAAAACAAAAGTACTTTTGCTGTGAGAAACTATTCTTACAACTAACTTCAGTTCGATCTCTTTCCTACTGAATTCAGAAGCTTTTAATTATTTATGTGCTAAACCAATTGTTTGATATTTTCTTCCCCTTCTACTATGGTAAAGCCCCACTATAGAAACAAACGTCCATTAACACTGCAGTAGGCCTTTAGGCACCTACTATCTGAACCATGCTGCTTTCAAATCTTGGTTCTGAAAAGACTAACCTTGTTAAGTACTAAACCCCTTCACAAAACAAAACAACGTTCATATGCCACCAATTTGAAAATCAGAATCCAAAAATAATGATAATATATACAAAACACACCTTTCAATGCAACCCACACGTTGTGCGTACCATGAATAGAATGGTTGGAGGTACTGGATCATGAAAATTAACCCCTCCTTATACGACATCATTATCCTTTGTCATTCTAATGTATCCTTTGTCATTAAACTTAGATTGAGTGTAAACCAGGTCACGGATGATGGAGCTAAAGTACTGGCTGAGGAACTCCTAAAGTACAAAATTATTAAAATCCTTGGGTAAGTGTTGAATGAATATAATTTTGCAAGATGAATATACATCATTATGTGCAATCATTCTACTAATTGTGGCAGTAGGCTGTCAGGGCCTAGTAAGCAGTTTTCATGTTTTGACCAGGCAGAGGTAGTTTGGAGTCAAGGTAGGATCATCTGTGGGTGCTGGAGGATGTCTGGGCCGAAACACAACTTCTCTAGGTCCAGACTGATATTCCAACGTCCTGGGTTGTGTCTCTTGTTACAGGTTTATCTGCTCCATGGTGCCTCATGCTCTGAGGAAATTTAGAGCAGGTTGACACTAAGTGTAAAGAAAATTGCTGTACTTTTGGAGAATAAGTGCTCTTTTTGAAATCGTGGTGCCTGTTATCCATTCCTCTGTTGCTTCTGCTCCATTCCCTCTACTGCAAACGTATAAATGAACGAGAAGTTCCTGTAATCCATCTCCTGTAAAAACCACAATGTTTTCCACTTCACAAGGTCCACACTTTCCACACTTCCCACACTGCCACAATATGTGGGAAAGACAAAGCAGTAGGGAAAATGTCAGGCCAATTTGGTGGTGGATGGTGTGGTAAGATTTAAGGAATTCCTCTCTGCTACTTAGAGGTTTGCAACTATTCCACGAGATCAGTCTGACCCTGATTTAGCATTTCATTGTACATACCCCTTGTACGTGGTGATCTTTGGCCCCAAGCAGGAACAGATTCAGCTTTTGCTTGAAAGGATTTCATGAGCGTCATGATTATCAAGCAGAGCATTTGGTAGGAAGAATACTGGTATAGATTATTTTCTAAATAGGGGAAAGCAATGGAAATCTGAAACGCAAAGGGATTTAGGAGTCCTGGTTCAGGATTCTCTTAAGGGTTGAGATGCAGCTTCAGTTGGCATTTAGGAAAGCAAATGCAATGTTACCATTCATTTCAAGAGGGCTAGAGTACAACAACAGGGTTGGACTGGTCATTAGATATGTGGCCCAAAACTGCTCACAATATTTCAAATGTGGTCTGACCAGAGCCTAATTGCCTAGAGTCCCTCTGGTCAGGATATGTCCTGAGTGAGGCTATGCAAATGCCTTCATTCAAGTGGTGTTCCCCAGGCTCAGTCAGACTGACGAGGGTGTGCACTTCCATTGCAACCCTGCAACTCGTATGGTCCACTTGCCGTATTTTCCAATGATAAAACCAGTTGTAGTGCCTATCTGAAGTCCATCTGGGCTTCAGCTAATAGGCATTTTTGCATGTTACATCATTAATCCCACACACGCAAATGGTCTCTCAGCATCTCATTAAAGATTAAACCAAAGTCACATGCCTCTGTCAGTCATCTTAACCCAGTCACAAATCCCAAATGGATTCCCCTGGTTCTCAAATTGCCGAGTAAAACTGACAGTATCTCAGAATTAAAGGAAGCTTTGGGTCATAATATTCCTTAAATAAATCTTTCAACTCTTGAAAGGTTTTTGTATCTGGTGCCTCAGAGAAAGTTATACTCCTAATAACTGAAAAAGCTGCAGGTCCAGAAGCAGTGAGGAGAATTACTTGTTTTTCATCTGCTCCATTGTCATTTGCCCAGAAAAAAAAATACATTCTTTCCACATACTAGGCCCAGTCTTCAATGGCAGAGTCAACCAAGTCAAGCTTCCCAAATAACGGCATGATGCCAGAAATGGCTATCCCAACTCAAAGACGACTGTTGTAAGCAACTTTCTTCAGGAGCATGCTTTTCTCTTGTTGCCAGTAAAATAACTTCACAGAGGCTGGTAGTCCACACCAAGTTACCCTTTATTTACATGTGGAGAGTCTTTGACACTGATCCTGCTCCCCCAGACCCAGCTTTCAGAGTAAACAGGATGTCTGACACTCCTGTCAGCCATGGCTCCCTGTTTGGGGCTGTTAATCTGGTCCAATCAGTGAACTCCTATTCTATGAGGCCCATCTGGCTGACTGCATTGCAATTACTACATTAGCCAAATCAAATTCATTTTCAACCCTTCTCTTCCACTTGCAATCACAGTGCTTCGTTAAATATATACCAGTGAAACCAGACAAAGGGATTTTAATTTTTTTTTTCCTTGAAATAAAGCCACACATCAAAAAAAATTGAGTTTTAAGAGCAACGTCATAGCCGGATAACATCATCCCTGTAATGGAAGCTTTTCTTGTTAGGAAAGAACATTGAGAATACTATATCTCTATCATGTGTGTTGATTGTCCCTGTTAAATTGCAAATAGTGATCACACCTATTGCTGCATTGTAATTCATGGTAACGTATAATTACATTATGTGAAAAATGTACCAAAGAAAATCATTACAATTTCTATTTATAGAGAATGAGTCTGTTCTCCATCGACAGAATTAAATTTAAAGGGCTGGTGCAGGCACACATTTTATTCTATGTCAGTTTGGCATTGAGATTCATGTAGGCTGTGTGTAGAGAGAAAATTTGGGCAGGGAAGGTGATTGGCAGACAGTGAGAATCGTGCATGCCTAACAGAACACAGTGACCATTCCAATTGCAGTCAATCCTTCCTGTCAGATTTTCCTCCCAGACAAAGTTTAGTGCCCAAATGACAATCATTAAAAATCTACCCCTAATGTGTTTATGAAAAGGCCAGCTAGCTTAAAATCTATTATCAGGAAAATATATGCAATTATCAGTGATATTATAGGAGAGCACCTAGAAAAAATGTGTCCAATTTATTGGAGTTCCTTGAAGAAGTAACATAAGGTGTGGATAAAGGGGAACAGGTGGATGTACTGTGTTTGGATTTCCAGAAGGTTTTTGATAAGGTGCCCTATGAAAGGTTGTTGGAGAAAGTAAACGCTCACGGTGTAAGGTGCAAGATATTGGTATGGATCGAAGATTTAGCTGGCACCAGGAAGTGGTGTATAGATGTAACTGGTTTTGCTGGTTTGCAAGCCACAATGAGTGGTGTCCCACAGGAATCAGTGCTGGAATCTCAACTGTTCACAGTTATATAAATTACTTGCATGACGGGTTCGAAAGGTACAGTTGCTAAATTTGGTGATGGTACAAAGATAGTTTTGAAAGTAAAGTTATGAAGAGGACATAAGGAAGCTATAAAAGTATATAAATGGTTCAAGTGAATGCACAAGGTTCTATGAAAGTAATCATGGAATCCCGAAAATGTGGAAGCAGGCTATTCAGCCCATTGAGTCCACACTGACCTTCTGAAGAGCATCCAACCCAGACACAATCCCCTCTACCCTATCCCTGTAACCTTGTATTTCCCATGCCTAATCCAGCTAGCCTGCATAGCCCTAGACACTATTGGCAATTTAGCATTGCTGATCCACTTAACCTGCACACTTTTGGACTGTGGGAGGAAACTGGAGCACCCAAAGAAAACTCACGCAGACACAGGGAGAATGTACAAACTCCACACAGACAGTCGCCCACAGGTGGAATCAAACCCGGCTCCCTGGTGTTGTGAGGTAGCAGTGCTGACCACTGAGCCACCGTGCCGCGATGCGGCCCCACAATATATTGTGGGAAAACGTGCATTTATCTACTTTGGTCGGAAGGGAAAAAAGGTTTATTATTTAAATGGTGAGAGATTACAGAGCTCTGAGATGCTGAGGGATCTGGATATCTTCATGAATGAGTCATAAAAGGTTACCACGCAGGTATAGTAAGTCATCAAATCTACTAGAATGTAGTCCTTTATTGCGGAGGGGAATAGAATACCAAAGTACAGAATTTACATTTCAGTTATACAGGCCATTAGTGAGACCATATATGGGCTACACTGTATAGTGTTGCTCACCTTATTAAGGAAGGATGTAAATGCATTGGATGCAGTTCAGGAGAGGTTTACTGGACTAGTACCTGGACTGGCAGGTTACCTTAAGAGGAAAGGTTGGGTAGGCCTTGCTTGTATCCCCTGCAATCTAGAACAGTAAGAGATGACTTGATTGAAGCACATAAGCTCCTGAGGGGGATGTGGAAGGGAAGTTTCCGCTTGGGGGAGAATCTAGAAATAGGGGCCATAGGTTAAAAATAAGGGCTTGCCCATTTCTAGCAGCCGAGGAGAATGTTTTAGAGACGGTTATGAGTGGTTTGAACTCTCTGCCTGAAAACCAGTGGAAGCATAGTCTTTGAATGTGTCTAAGACAGAAGTAGATTGATTCTTGATAAGCAAGTGCTGAAAGGTTATCTGAAGTAGGTGTGATGTAGTTAGAGCAGCCTTGATTTTTTTGAATGGCAGAGCAGACTCAAGGGGATATGGGGCCTACTCCTGCTTCTATTTCATAAGTAGATATGTTCTTTGAAGGTGGTAGAGCAGGTTGAAAGAGTGATAAAATAGACATACAAGATCCCAAGTTAATAAAGAGAGGCATGGTGTACAAAAGCAAGGGATTTGTGATGTATCTTTATAAAAATCTTGTTCATCTTTGACTGAAAACAAAAACTGCTGGAAATCACAGCAGATCAGGCAGCATCCTTAGAGAGAGAGCAAGCTAACGTTTCAAGTCGAGATGACTCTTCAGCTCTGATCAGCTCCAGTCGGATTATTCAACTTAATTCTGGGCACTTTAGAAAGGGTGTGAAGTCTTTAGAAAAGTTGCAGAGAAGTTAACACGCATAGTCCAGTGATGAGAGGCTTCAGGTCAAGGAGAATTGGTAGAGGTGTTCAGGATCATGAAGGTTCTGGTTGGAGTCAATAGGGAGGAATCACCTCCATTGAAGAAGGCCTAAGGATCAAAGAATACTGATTTAAGTTGGTTAGCAAAAGAACCACCAGCAAAGCAAGAAAAAGCCTTTTTTTTATGCAGCAAGTGATTAGAATCTGGAATGCATTACCTGAGAATCTGATGCAGGCAAATCCAATTGTGACTTTCAAAGGGACTTGGACAGCAACTGAAGAGAAATAATTGCAGCTGTACATTGCAGTGTTTGGATGGGACTAACTGTGTTGCTCATATGGAGAGCTAGCACTGGGTCAGATGGCCTTTTCTGTGCTGCAGTCATTCAGTGACTCTATGAAATGAAGCCAATGCAAAATGAACTTAGAAGGGCCAACCGTTTTTATTTTCTGATCCTATTCCATCATGTTGCTCTGTTCACAAACTTTGTGAGGGAATGAACAATGATCCCGGAGCAGAAACATTTACAAACCTGGTGAGTTTGGTCTATAGGGAGAGGCTGAATAAGCTGGGGCTATTTTTCCTGAAGAGTCGGAAGCCTTAGAGAGGTTTATAAAATCATGAGGTGCATGGATAGGGTGAATAGCCAAGGTTTTTTTCCTCCCAGCATAGTGGAGTACAAAACTAGAGGCCTTAGGTTTAATGTGATAGGGGAAAGATTTAAAAGGGGCCTAAGGGGTAACTTTTTCAATTAGAGGATGGTGCGTGAATGGAACAAGCTGTCAGAGGAAGTGGTGGAGGCGGATACAATTACAAAATTTAAAAGGCATCTGGATGGGTACATGAATAGGAAGGGTTTTAGAGGGATATGGGCCAAATGCTGGCAAATGAGACGAGATTAATTTAGGATATCTGGTCAGCATGGACGAGTTGGATAGAAGGGTCTGTGTCCGTGCTGTAGAACTCTATGACTCTATATCAATCAATTGCTAATCTTTCAGTGTTGCATCACTATTTGGTTACCTCTTTAAAACAAAGTGTTATTTTTCCAGCCTGTACAGGAATCAGATCACTGATGTTGGTGCCAGGTTCATTGCCCAAGTTGTTGAAGAATGCCCACATCTTCGAACATTAAAGTAAGAAATAACATGCTTACACTTTGCACAACTTGTTTACACTGTATTAAATTTAAAGGCAACATAGAGACTAACCAACAGCAGGCTGAAATTACAAAAATCTTACCTCAATGACAAAGAATGCTTGTAACATTGGAAAAACAATCGCTAAATATTATTGCAATTTCTAGATACCACAAAGCCATTTAAAAAGATAAAGGATTTGAATTTATGTAGTTAGGATCTCTTAAAATGCTTCACTGCCAAAGAGGTACATTTTGAAGTGTAGGGCAACATGAAGATCCAACCAATCCAACCACTTCACCCATCCCTAAGGTGTGGTGACCCTCCGGTTAAACCATCACCAGTTATCTTTCTGTAATGAGGGAGCAGCCCCAAGTGTGGCGCCTTTACCTTAGTCTGCAATGTCTGAAAACATGGCAGCAATGATATGATGACCAGATAATTTATTTTGCTAATGTTAGTTAGGAGATAGGTACCTGTCAGACCACTAGGGGGATCTCTTCTTTGTGCATTGTACAAAGGAACTAAACATTTCTGAGAGGCAGGAAGTTGGAGTTGTAAGGTTATCTTAAAGACAGCATCTATGACACTCACTCCATACTGCCCTGAAATATCAGCCTGGATTATGGGCCCTCTGGAGTGAGACTCAAAGTTACGAATTTCTCATTCTGGTAAGAGTACTCCGCAAAGCTACAATGCACACACTGTTGCCACTTAGTTTAGGTTGATTATTGGAAAAAAAAGCTGTAACAGCGCTACAGAGTAATAATCTGTAGGTTTGTTCCTTTAATTGACTAGATAGGAAGTCCTTGAGTTTATTCAGCTGTCGCTGTTAGCCGTATAAAGAGGGGAGAAAAATTGTGCAAATCTATTTGAATCCAACAGTATTTGTGTTACAGGATAGTGAGTCAGTTTAGCAAGACCATGAAATTCTCTGATAGCTGAGTATGTTTCTCCAGTGAGTAGTCTTAAGTGAGTTCACTGGCCCCAGCCAGGTCATGCCAAGACCTGGTGAGAGAGAAGAGATTGTTATAGTTGGCTTTAGCACTTGTTTTTTTTTATCCTTCTAACTGAATTATCTGCCTGAAGGCAGGCCCAACCCATAGTTCTGTGATCTCCACCAAGGCTAGGTCAAAGAGGCAAGTGCTGAATCCATAGCATGAACCCTGTGCTGTTAGTCAGTCTGATCCACCCAGATCTTGCAGTCAGTTGGGCCCCTTAGAGTCTGACGTGCTGTAGTAACTGTAGCATGCATGCTGTAACCTGGAGCTATGAGTGGTGATGGCTGAGGTTCCAGTCTCTTCCCATCATGGCTGAATTGGAATTTTTCCCAATCTTATCAAGTGTCATCAGTATGGGTTGGAGTGACTTCTAAATTGATTGGCTATTGAGTCCTGGCATGAGAATTGAACCCAAAGATTCTGACTCAGAGGCAGGGAGTCTTCCCACTGTGCCACAAGAGGGCCTGGCCCCCTAGATTAAGAAAAGGAAAATTAGCCAATTCCATTGCTAATCAGAACCTTGGCATTTGACTGTTCAAGGAGGACATTGCCAAGCTCAGTTATGATACCAAGACTCTTTTAATCTTTATTCCACCAATCAGCACTCCATGATGAGGCGAAGTATTTGATCATGACAAGTATCTAGTAGATGAAACCCATGAAAAATTAATATAATCTGGGTCTGTTTTAGCATATTTGACAGAAACCAAATGCCAACACTCAACAATTCCATGGGAATGGCTTGTTGGCCTCGGGGTATGATTCTCGCTTAGGGTGCTATGCAGTGTTGACATGTGAGAGGTCCCAGGTTCAACTCCCAGGCAAGCCCCAGTATCTTATTTCAGGGGCGACATGGTAGCTCAGTGGTTAGCACTGCTGCCTCACAGCGCCAGGGACCTGGGGTCGATTCCACCCTCGGGCAACTGCCTGTGTGGAGTTTGCACGTTCTCCCTGTGTCTGCGTGGGTTTCCTCCGGGTGCTCCGGTTTCCTCCCATGGTCCAAAGATGTGCAGGCTAGGTGGATTGGCCATGCTAAATTGCCCCATAGTGTTCAGGGATGAGTAGATTAGGTGAGTTATAGGGGGATGGGTCTGGGTGGGATGCTCCAAGGGCTGGTGTGGACTTGTTGGGCTGAAGGGCCTGTTTCCTCACTGTAGGGATTCTATGAATTCCAAGATGATTGTGTAGTATTATATAAGGAATACAGTGTCAGAAGTCAAATTGGGTTATCTTTGCCCTTTTTTGTGCAGCAGATCTTTAAAAAGATGGGTGACACCTGACAAAGAGTGAAAATAATGGAGTAAAATTGTTTGAGCTTTCTTCCAGTCTCTTGCCAGATCATTGTCAGACATTCAGTGGAAACCCTGAAAAAATGTCACAAAGACTCAGTTATGACGTTTTTCCAGAGTTTCTGCTGAAGTTATGATTGAAGATTGAGGGTCCCAGTATAATTCCTGCTTTCCAGAAGAGCTAGACAATGAGTTAGAATGAAGATTGAAAAGGCTGAAAACTTTTTCTCACCCCAATAATGGTAAGTCGACATAGACCAGGGACCATGATGGCCATTTATTCAGTTTTTTTTTTGGCACTTTCAAAAGCCTATAAATCCAAATTTCTCAATCCAGGAGCTAGTTACATACGTAGACAAATTACAGTGGGAGAACTGGGGAGAGGAGCAATTTTTCTGAGCTAGCTCTGTATATTGGCCTGTAGTGCCTGCAGCACCTAAGTAGGCAGGGAGGGCCTTGAGATTCGACTGGAGTGCTGGCCCTTTGGTCTGTCACTGAAAGGTCACTTCCAGGTAAGCAAACTGGACATTTGCTGCCTTTGAGGAACTGGAGGCTGACTGGAAAATCCCTCCATTAATTAGCCTTAAATGGCCGTTAACAAGTTTGCTGAACTACCTGCAGCATGTGAGTGGGCGCACCTTTCCACACCTCTCACCCTAACAGCCCCTTTCCCTGCCTCTGCAAAAATGGTATAAGGGCTGTAAGAAAGTAGGGACTCAACATGTTACAGAGGAGGAGTTGCTGGATGCCTTAAAATGCACAAAGGTGGATAAATCCCTGGGACCTGATCAGGTGTACCCTAGAACTTTGTGGGAAGCCAGGGAAATGACTGGAGCAAAGGATCTGTTTCTGTGCTGTACATCTCTATGACTCTGACATTGTCTGGCAGCACAACTTTAGCATCCAGCCACCTCCAATATTGACCCAAACATATTTGCCCCGTATCCCTTAATACTTTTGATTAATAAAAACCATCAAATTCAGATTGTTATTACCAATTGATCTAGCATTAATTGTTATTTACAGAAGTGAACTGTCAATTTCTTCTACCATAGAGGGAAGTCCTCTTCTAGGTCGCTGTTATTGGAATACTTCTTGTGAGCATTGAAGAATCCATGAAAGAAAGAAAGGGAAATTTCAAGTTTCATGTTTGACCTGTAAATTAAGACACATTCTAAAGCACTAAAGCACAATAATCTGTTATTGCAGAATTGGACTCAACAAACTTACAAGTGAAGGAGGGAAATTATTAGCACAAGCAATTCAGAAAAGCAAAGCCATCAAAGATATAGGGTGAGTATTCAGTATGATGTTAAAACTCTTGGTATTTGTAATCTAGCAAGATAATAATAGAAATCACTTAGTTCATTCTAGTTTAACCATCCAGAATGATCCTGGAATCATCTTCAATGTTTCTAGGTTTTTCTCTCCATCTTTCATTTCCTGTGCAATGAAAGAAAAGCATTGATGTAACTGCTGCATTGAATCCTTCTAATATTCTGCATTATGAACAATTTGTTCCTCAATCTTGAAGGAAGTTGATATGAAATCAGTTTTCTGTTTCATGCCTTCCTCTTGCCATCCGGTTATGGTTATATATTTCTGCATTCTGTATTAATTATTATTATTCTTTATTATTCTTTGAATGTCTGTGCTTGTGGATTATGGCACCTTTAACTTTGCACCCCAACAGCGACAGCGCTTCTCAACATTCGCTTCTGATTAGCAATTTTCACACCAACTTCCTCCAAGATGTAAAATGTGGCTTTGAAGTGACATCCGTTTAAATTTCATTTTACAACAAGTGATGTGTTTTCTCCAGTGGAACACCTCCCAAATAAACCAACTCTGGAATTTCCTTTGTACCAAAATATATGCAAAAAAAGAAACTCCATACTCTAGTACAAATCTAGTACAAGTACACTGTGAGACTGCTCATTTTGAAAGAGAAATATGTAAGTATTCTCTCCCTTTTTTGGGTGTATGTTATAAATAATGTACGGTAAACCACCTTGCAAGCCAGACTGCATCTTGTTTATCTGCACTAATCGGAAGTACCTCTACGGTTCATTCCCTTTAAACCATCAGTCCCTGTACTGAAACCATATAATTTGATTATGCTATTAATTTCAAGTTCCTGATGATTTTTGTTTCCATGTATCAAGAAAAAATATTTCCGTATTGGGGAATGGAACACTCTCCTCACCAGTTATCCTTTTTTGGAGAGGAAAAGAGAATAAATTACTTAATTTTCACTAATCTCTGTCTTTTCTCAAGCAAATGCAGAGACATCGATGTGCAATAATTACTAGCTGTTCTAATCCCAGTGTCAGAAGGTCAACAATTGAAACAAAGAAAGGTCTTTCAAATATATAGCACTTTTCATGACCCAAGGATGACCCAAAATGCTTTATAGTCAAATAAGTTACTTTTAAACATAGATGCTGTTGTAAAGTAGGGCACAAAACACGAGTTTGTCTAGTCCCACAATCAGCAATGAAATAAATCTGTTTGGTAATTTTAGTTGAGTGATAAATATTGACCAAGACACTGGGAAAACTCTCCTGCTGTTCTTCCAGACAAGCTGCAGAACCTTTCACCCTTACTGGGTTTAATATCTTTCCCAAAAGAAGGGATATCCTGAGGTGCAGCATTCCCTCAGTACTGCATTTCAGCCTAGATCACGAACTGACGTTTCTAGAGTCGGCCTTGAACAAAGACCCTCTGACTCAAAGTGAGTGTTCTCCCAAATGAATCAAAGATAGCTGAACGCCAAACTACACAAGTGTTTATAGTTTCCCATCAATAATAACCCTGAGGTCCCTCTGAGTGGTTATCAGTGTTTTAAAGCAACTTAGCTACACCTGAAAATGTTCCTTGCTACTCAATAAAAGCTTAAATATATCATAAAAACCGAAAGAACTGCGGATGCTGTAAATTAGGAACAAACACAGAAGTTGCTGGAAAAGCTCAGCAGGTCTGGCAGCATCCGTGAAGAAAAAGTCAGAGTTAATGTTTCGGGTCTGGTGACCACTCTGAGGAAGGATCAGCAGACCCAAAATGTTAACTCTGATTTTTTTCTTTACAGGTGCTGCCGGACCTGCTGAGCTTTTCCAGCAACTTCTGTTTTTGTTCTTAAATATATCAGTTGGATATTTTCAATCCAAATGTAGCCAGGACACCCCTTGGAAGCGGAAGTATTGTAGAATTGTAATATCATGGAAGAAAGCTATTTGGACCATCATACTTATGTTAGCACTTTGACAGAGCTATCCAATTAGTTCCTCTTGCCTGCTGTTTTACCATAGCTTTTTTTTTCCCTTTTCAAATACATATCCAATTCCCTTTCATAACGTACTATTTTATTTGTTTCCACCTTTCTTTCAGAGAGTACATTCTCGATCAAAAAACAATTTCTGTGTAACAACACATTCCTGTCATTTTTTTCTGGCTATTTTCCTAATTATCTTAAATCTGTGTTGTCTAGCAACTGAGCCACCTTCCAGTGGAAACCAGTTCTTTCTATTTAATCTGTCAAAACTCTCCATCATTATGAAAACCTCTTATTATACCTCTCAACTTTGTCACTTCTGAAGAGAATAAACTCAGCTTCTTTAGTCTCACCACTTGACTCAAGTATCTCGTCAGTGGTACATTTCTAATAAATATTCTCTGTACCCTTTTAAATGTTTTGAGATCTCTCAAAAGTATGCTGCTCAGAATTCACACAATATGCAGACTGAGGACTAACCAGTGGTTTACATGAAGTACAATCCAGTTGCATTTTATCAAAGACATAGTTGAAGAAGTGAAAACATGTAAGTAAAGCACTATTCTTAACTTGGTCCCTGGTTTATTAGAAATAGTTCTTCTTGAAGAGCAGACACACAATACTTTTAAAATGTTACATCTTCAAATAGTTTGCACTCATGATGGGCTTCTGATTTCAGCAGTGTCAATGGAGGAAGACATCAAGCACAGGTCAGAAGCTTGTACTCAGAGATAGAAAGAGAGAGATATTCAGAAGAGTCACCAAGGCTATCCCTGTGAACCTCATGGAGACAAATCATTAAGTAGCATTGACATCGGTTTCAGAGCAGCACTTACTCTCCATCAGAAAATAGTTCATGGCAGAAAGAGATCATTATGAGAGGAAGGAATATGGTGTTGATCTTTTTTAAAAAAAAGTTTGCTTTGCACCATCACAACTGTTAATTCCCAATGTGAAACTGAGATCCTGATACCTGACAGTTAGTGAGAGGTGGCTTGTGTTCATTATTCTAAATCTAATCATGGAGTGGTATTTCTCTACAGCATGTATCCATCATAGAAAAGTATTCAGCCTAGCAAGTTGAAGCTTGTTTCTAAGATAATAATGCTGTTACTTCAATGTAGCAAATCAGTTAATACTAAAAAGATAACTTTGTTCTCACATGTGTGTATATACATATCTGCTTTGTTTGAATTTGTAGTAATTGTCATTCTAAGAAATTTTGAATTTAATTTCAGGATGTGGGGGAATCAGATTGGGGATGCAGGTGCAGTCGCTTTTGCTGAAGCTATAAGAAACCATCCTTCAATAAAAGAGCTCAGGTAGTCACATTTCTTAAGCCTTTTGATGATATGAAGCAATTAAATACCTGCTTGACAAAAATAGGTCATCCGTCCGAGAACTCATAAACTCACAGTCAATTACAGTACAGAAGAAAGCCATTAGGCCCATCATGTCTGTGCCAGTCAACCAAGATCTGACTATACTAGTCCCAATTTCCATCTCTTAGCCCACAGCCTTAGAGGCTATGGCTATACAAATGAATACCTATTACCTAAATGTTAAGAGAGTTTCTGACCCAACCGTCTTTTCAGGTAGCTTGTTACTGTATTCGTCACTCATTAGGTGGAAGAAATGCTCTTAAACTCTCTTCTTTCTTTAAACCTATGCCCCTTGCATTTTATCCTCTATATTAATGAAAAAAATTGCCTTCCTGTTCATCTTATCCATACGCCTCATAATCTTCTACTGGGTCCCTGCCTCAACCTTTACCGTACAGGGGTAAAATAATGCCAGATCTATCCAATCTTTATTCATAGTCATAACTGTCCAACCTAGACAGCGTCCTAGTAAATCTTTTCTGCACCCTCTCCATGGCAATCTTGTCACTCCTATAATGTGGTGACCCGAACTGCAGGCAGTAATCTATTGGTAGCTTAACAAATGTTTTATACAGTTCCAGCATAACCTCCCTGCTGTTGTATTCTATGCCTTGGGTAAATAAAGGTAAGTATTCTGTATCCCTTCTTATCCACATTATCTACCTGTAACCTTCCTCTAATGATGGTAGAAGGTCACTGAGTGACCCATTCTTTTCAATTATTTTGGCATGAGAGTGTACAAGAGCTCTATTTGCCAAAAAAAAAGCCATGAAGACATGTGTGAAGCGCTAAGGAACAGCATAAAAATAAAATACAAACCATAAATAAAAATATGACAACTGGCATAAATACTTGCAAATGGGAAAGAATAACAAAACTGATTGTACGAGTTAAAAAAGGAGTATGAAATGCAAGCAAAAGTATGGATGCTAACTATCCCTGAAATAACAATAGAAACTGCTAGAAATGCTCAGCATTTCTGACAGCATCTGCGAAGAGAAACATCCCAAGGTGCTTCACAGAAATATGATCAGATACAGGGTAGATTGATCTTAGTAGGATAATAGGTCGGCACAACATGGTGGGCCAAAGGGCCTGTACTGCGCTGTACTGTTCTATGTTCAGTATGACAGTGTGCCACATAGGGAGATATGAAGACAGGTGACCAAAAGCTTCGTCAAAGAGAGTAGATTTTAAGGGCGGTCTTATTGAAGGAAAACAAGATAGAGAGCCAGAGAGGTATAGGGAGGGAATTCTTTCAAAACTACTTCATTGGCTTTAAAGAACTTTGGGACTTTGCTCGTTAAAGGCTATGTCACATAAATGCAAGCCCCTTTTTACAAAGAGGAATGAGACAATGGAAGAATTTGAACACGTTGATGTGAATTTTAAAATTGAGGCAAGTTGTTCCAATAGGTAGGCTTAATGAACATCTTTAAGGAGGAGAAGATGAGGTAGGTTGAGTAAGAAAATTCCAAATCATAGGACCTAGGTACTTTGGAAACCACATAGTCTAATTGGGAATATGGAGCATTTCTTTACAAAGATATGTATAAAGATATATATTATATTCTTCAAACTATATCATTATTATCCTTCTGTCGGTATTGACAGTGTTTGTGTTCTTTATCTAGCCTGGCAGCCAATGGAATTTCGACAGAGGGTGGGAAAAGTTTGGCGGCAGCTCTGCGAGACAACAGATCCTTGGAGATATTTTGGTAATCATATCTCAGTTTCAGAATTTCCAGCCTTCTCTGGTGAACTGCAAGATTTTGTCAAAGGCTCATTGTAGCATATCCAAATTTTCTGATCCCTCTTCTTAGCTCTTTAAGAGAAAGAAAGAAATTGCATTTGCGTGGGACGTTTTCCCATCTCAGCATGTCCCAAAAAGCTTTACAAACAGTTGAGTATTCTTTGAATCAATGATCTCTCTAGACTGCTTGGCCATGCAGTGTTCCTACATAGGTCCAGCAGAGGTTGGCCCCTTTATGTTATTACACATAAACAATTGTAGAAAAATATTTAAAAACTTCACACGTTTAAATAAATAGGCCATGCGCAATGAAGAAAACGCGGGACGGTTGCTTTGAGGTGTTGTAATGTGCAATGCACGTTTATGGATAGCACAGTTATGGGCCTGTGCAGGAATACTGTATGGTCAAGCAGTCTAGAGAGATCATTGCTTCAGACTGACATTGTGTCAGCTGAGTAGTAGCACTCACACCAGTGAACCAGAAGTTGAGGGTTCAATCTTTACCACAGAGTTGATGAGTTGAGGGCAGCATGGTGGCACAGTGGTTAGTGCTGCTGCCTCACGGTGCCAGCGACCTAGGTTTGATTCCAACCTCAGCCAACTGTCTGCTTGTTCTCCTTTTGTCTGCGTGGGTTTCCTCCAGGTGTTCGGGTTTCCTCCGACAGTCCAAAGATGCACAGATTAGGTGGATTGGCCATGCTAAATTGCCCATAGTGTCCAGGGATGTGCAGGCTAGGTGGATTGGCCATGGTAAATGCAGAGTTACAGGTATTGGGTAGGGGGTGTGTCTGGATGGGATGCTGTTTGGAGGGTCAGTGTGGACTTGGTTGGTTGAATGGCCTGCTTCCACACTGTAGGGATTCTATGATTCTATTCTATGATGGTGAGGTAATCAGTTTTATTGATGTTGTTTAGTAACGACACTAGGGAAAGCCCATCTGCTCCTCTTCAACGTAGTGCCACGGACATGCATCTGAGAAAGCAGAAATGACCTTATTTAGCGTCTCATCTGAAACTCAGCATGTCCTTTGGTATTGTGGTGAAATGCTAAAAAATAAATGCCCTCAGTATTTTCTTGTGCTACTGCTGGGCCATGGTTGACATAATGCCAACAGGTCATGGGTTGACAGTTGCAAATTTACAAGCAATATTAGTAAGTTAATGACACACAATTCATGCAATGCTAATATTACATGAAGGAAAAAACAGTTCTTCTGTGTTTAATTAAATTGGAGAAAACAGACAGCATCCTAATTGAAGGTACACACTTTAATTAAGGATAGTTTCTTCCATCAGTTCTGACCAGCCAGTTGTATGTTTCCCAGCTTTTCTCTGCTTTTCTTTTATTAAAGCTTGCCACTGTTTTGCTTCCAACTTAACCGTGTCTGATTAACAGTCAATTTCAGAAGCTTTGTCACTTCCTTTAACAGTCTCTTCTGTAAATTAGGTTGACAGAAAACCAGTTGAATGATGAAGCAGCTGCATTATTCGCAGAAGCACTCAGGGTCAACAAAAGCCTGCTTCATTTATGGTAAGTATCTCTGTGCATTATGTAGACTCCATTTCCTTTTACTGACCATTAGATTTTATACCTGCCACTCCTACTATGCCACATTGTGACAAACAGCCTTTTTTTAACCTTCCCTCCAATATTTTTATGACTAATAAGTGAAAACAGAAAATGTGAAGAAATACACACCATCGTTTTGTAATGTTGTTATAATTTCACACTGGGATTTCTCACAACAGTTAGAATTAATTAATAAATATGTGGGAGATTAATTGGGTGTAGAGCTGGATGAACACAGCAGGCCAAGCAGCATTAGAGGTGCAGGAAGGCTGATGTTTCGGGCCTAGACCCTTCTTCAGAAAGGTCTGTTCATCCAGCTCTACACCTTGTTATCTCAGATTCTCCAGCATCTGCAGTTCCTACTATCTCTGGGAGATTAATTGTTCATTCATGGAGATTCTGGACCTTCAGGCACTAGATTACTGAAAGCACAGCTATCTATTGTGAGTGAAGGAATTGGGACTTCGCACAAAAAGGTAGGGCTAGAATAAAACAGGATTCTCTAAGAGATACAGGACAGGAGGAGATTAAAGAGATAGGGAGGAGTGAGGCCATGGATTTGAACACATTTATGACAATTTTAAAATCAAAATGTTGTTAGACCTGGAGTGAATGTAGGTCAATGAGTGCAGGAGACAAGCAGTAGATGAACTTGAGTATATGAAGAGTGGAGTGTGAGAGACCAACTGGGAGAACATTGGAATAGTTGAATTTAGAAGTAACAAAAGAATGGATGAGAATCTGAGCAGCAGATTGAGAGAAATAGGGGTGGCAACAGGTAATATTGCAGCATGTGGAAGAATTTGAGATGCAGGAATCATGGAATAGAATTTCTACAGTGTGGAAAGAGGCCATTAGGCCTATTAAGTCCACACCCTGACCCTCAGAAGAGCATCCCACCCTCGTACCCTATCCCCATAACCCCACATTTACCATGGTTAATCCACCCTCTGGACTCTACAGATGATTTAGCATGGCCAATCCACCTAACCTGCACATCTTCGGACAGTGGGAGGAAATCCACGCAGACACGGGGTAGATGTGCAAACTCCACACAGATAGTCACCTGAGGCTGGAATTGAACCAGGATCCCTAGCGCTGTGCGGCAGTAGTGCTAACCACTGAGCCGCCGTGCCACTCAGATGGAAAGGCAACTCATTAACCAATGTAATTGCAGTCACTAGCCATCACAATCGGCAAGATTAGAATTGAAATGCATGATATGTTTTAATGATTAAATCATATTTATTTACAGGATAATAAACAACAGAATTACAGACGTGGGGGCAAATTGTTTCTTCGACATACTCAAAGAAAATGCAACAATAGAAGAGATTTGGTAAGAAACATCTCATTGCCTGGGAATATCATCGAATCTTGAAGCACAAAGGGAGGACGTTCCACGCATTAGGCTGGCTCTTTGAAAGAGTGATCCAGTTATCGTCCTCCTCTTGCTCCCCCCCTCCCCACCTCCCTGTAGCCCTACAGTTTTTTTTTCCTTGTCAAGCATGTATCCAATTATTGGATTATTCATATTGACAATGTCACATTGTGTCTTCATTTCCGTGGTGACTCTCCTTGCTGTGCACCATTTCGTGTTGGAGAGATTTGAAAAAGGTTCAGGTTTTAGATAAAACTGTTTGAACAAAAAAAAATACAAAACGTTTCTGGGATATCAACAGGCTGTCTCCTGAAGGTAATTTTTGTTGTACAAGGCAATTAATACCTAAAAGGGTTAACTGAGATCACAAGATTATCTCTGCCTATCAGGATACAAAGGTCTGCTCTTGGTACGAACTAACCAGTTGTGTGTTCTAGTTCAGTAGCAATAGCATATACCCCTTCTCAAATCCACCCTGATGCTGCTCAAGATATTATCATGTAACTAGTTATTGAGTACTATGTAACAAACTTATTCTGTTTAACAAGACCAAACCTATCTTCTGCCAAAATCCTTGTATGGGCATCCTCCCCCACATGCTATCAGTAACTTAACTAATACCAGTAGGAGGAAATGGCGGTAGTGAATCCACTGAGGCATCTCAGATGGTTCGTGTAGACATGACCACAACATATACCATGCTGCAGAGGGGTGGAACTCATAATATATGCATTTTCATAATCATAAACAGGGGATTTGGAGTCCAGTGTGGTGTAAAAGTTTTTGAAATTTCAAACCTGTCCCTGACAATCCACTTCTGGATGTAAAAGGGGGAGTACAAGGGTTGGCCAGCTAGTCCATTTCGTAGGAAGTGTGTTGCCATTTTAACTTGCAAATGAGGCTGGAAGCCTCACTTTCACAGGCTACATTGTGGCTGGCTGGGTTTTTCAGCCCTCTGGAAACTCAACAGCTCAAGGGACACCAGGACAGTTTTGAGGAAAGTGAATTTCCCCTTGTAGCACAGCTTGTAGGCCAAGAGGAGTGGGGTGGGGAGGGGTGCATGCCTCCTAGTCCTTCCTAGTCCACCATCTTCACTGCTACTGGATCAACTCAACCTCTCATTATTGGATCCTCCCCATCTGAAACCACCTCCCAGCATCAAGATTTGAGATCTTGAAATGTCCCCCTGAACATACTCCATGCTCCCAGTAACTGTGTAGCCCTTGCTGCTTCTACAGTTTCATTTCCCATCCAACAATAAGCCAAGCCAATCAGGCTAAATTCTCAGCTGGAACCATGGGAGAATAACAGCTACATTGTGGTGTACTAAGCTCATGGGGAAATTCAGACTTCTGGAGTTTCCCACCCATGACAACTTCCCCCAAGCACTAGCTCACAGGTCCACTCTCTATTGAGACCTCAGTGTAAAGATGCTTTAATATGCTGTAATCACAACAGAAACACATGGTTGAGGCTACTTGCTGCTCTGACAACACATTGTTACAAGTGATTCAGCTTTAGGATTGAGCATCAGTTTTCACAGTTGCATCATTGACGTACTGATATTCGACATGTTGTACTACAAGGTTGAAGGAGTACCACACTTGGAGACACGGGGCATAGCTGAGGTCTTAAATTAATACCTTGCATCTGTCTTTACTGAGGAAGATACTACTCAGGCCTTGGAGAATGAGGAGTCATTCAGTTATTTAGAATGGTTCATAATCAATAAGGAAGAAACATTGGATAGGTTGTGTATGCTTAACATTGACCATGCACTGGGAATGGATGAGATGCATCCTAGGATATTGAGGGAAGTGAGTGTAGAAATTGCAAAGATACTGCCAATAATTTTTCACTTGTCCTTAGATTACAAGGGTGGTGGAATATATGCCAATCAGTTTAGATTCCATGATGGGGAAACTTCTAGAAACAATAATGTGGGACAAAACTAACAGCCACATGGACAAATGTGAGCTAATTATCGAAAACAGGCATGGATCTCCATAAGGGAAAATTACATTTCACTAACTTGCTGGAGTTTTTGGAAGACATAACTGAGAAGGTTGATCAATGCCGTTGATGTTGTGTACATACATTTCAGAAAGCTATTTGATACAGTGCCATACAGTACACTTGAAATCAAAATTATGTCCCATGGGATTAAAGGGGCTGTAGCAACATGGGAAACAGGAAATGGAGAGTAGCATTTAATAAATTTTCTTTGGGTTGCAATAAAGTCTATTATGGAGTTTCCCAGGGGTCCATGTTGGGACTTTTGTTTCTCCTGATCGTATATTAATGAGCTACACCATGGGAAAAGTCCCAGCTCCGAGGACCCAACCTTTTAAAAATGGCTGCCCACACTCTCCATTTTTACTGTGTTGGAGAAACTGGATAGGACATCAGGCCCGGCAACCTAGAAAGAGCTGAAGAGGCTGCCAGTTGCCTAGTCAGACTTCAAAGAAAATCTTACTCAGGGCTTCAGCACAATCCAAAGATTAAAATGAAAATATAAAACATAAAACATTACAATGTCCCTTACCCCTTTTCACTCTTCCTCACTGCAGGCCAGCCCAGGGCTCTAAGGTCCTGTACCATTTCCTTTGGTGCCTCAAACCCACTGTGGAACCCCAGGCTCCTCTCTCTCCTTACACTCTCCTTATGGACTGTCATACCTCTTATGCCAAGTTAGTGTTTATTACCATACCTTTTCCCCATCACTTACCATGCCTTAATACTTAGGATCCCCAAGTACCCATGGGCATGGGAGAACAAATGGAATTCTAATACTTAAACACTACATTATTTAAAAAAAACACTTTCATTCACGTAAAAATATACTTTTACATGTTTTGACACTTCTTGACAGTTCGACACTTCTTGACTTGTGTTGACAAGTTTGACACTTCTTAAAATTACTTGACAGGTCTTGACACTTCATCTTTTACAGGTTTGACTGTTCAAGAGGTTAATGCCCCTTTTGCAGACAGTCATCTCTACAGTTAATCATCCCAAAGGACACCTGAAGACCCTTACCACTGTAAAAAAGGAAAACTAACCTCCACCCACAAAGTGTTCTGTGTCCATTTCGAGGGGGGTGCCTCAGCTCACTAAAGGGTACTCCAGCAACTAAAAACAGACGTGTTCTTGTTTGGTCAAATCTATACACCCTGGTTCAAGACAGGAGTGCAGTTTCATATTTCCTTGAAAGTGGAGTCCCAGGTAGACAGGGTAGTGAAGAAAGTGTTTGGTATGCTTGTCTTTATTAGTCAGTGCATTGAGTATTGGAGTTGGGAGATCATGTTGCGGCTGTACAGGACATTGGTTAGGTCACTTTTGGAATACTGTATTCAATTCTGCTCTACCTGCTATAGGAAAAATGTTGTTAAACTGGAAAGGGTTCAGAACAGATTTGCGAGGATGTTGCCAGGGTTGGAGGGTTTGAGCTGTAGGGAGAGGCTGAATAGGCTGGGGCTTTTTTCCCTGGAGCGTCAGAGGCTGAGGGATGACCTTACAGAGGTTTATAAAATCATGAGAGGCATGCATAGGATGAATAGTCAAGGTCTTTTTCCCAGGGTAGGGGAGTCCAAAACCAGAGGACAAAGGTTTAATGTGAGAGGGGAAAGATTTAAAAGGGACACAAGGGGCAACTTTTTCCCACAGAGGGTGGTGCATGTATGGTATGAGCTGCCAGGGGAAGAATTGGAGGCTGGTTTAATTACAATATTTAAAAGGCATCTGGATGGGTATACAAATAGAGGTATATGGGCCAAACACTGGCAAATGGGACTAGATTTACTTAGGACATCTGGTCAGCATGGAGACTTGGACCAAAGAGTCTGTTTCAGTGCTGTACATCTATGAATGGGAATTTGAAAATACAATTGGAGTGGAGGAAGGTGATCATTTAAATTGGCATTTGCCTCCACAAACCATACATGCATGAAGGGTAGCTCACACCCTCACCCTCATCATGTGAACATGGGAAATGTCAGGTTCAGGGATAAGACTTTGGATTTCTGACCTCTTCTGCTATTTTTCTTTGATGGAGAGCTCTCTGCGATGGTGCACATCTGGGCCTAAGATATGGTTTTGTGGATCTCTTTGACAGGCGTTAACTTGTTCAATTTTTTTTCCTAATCAGCTTGAAAGGTAATGATATCTCTGCAGAAGGAGCCAAGAGGTTCGCTGAAGAAAAACGGATTGTGCTGTGAGTGACATTTCCTTTGTGGTTAATGTACTGGAGCCATCATACACCATTGGAGCTGTAGAAGGTTCAACAGTTGTAACACTACCTATAGAACACAATAAGAAACCTGCCAGTTATTTTCTATGAGGTTTGCAGTGACTGGGACAATCTGAAGGAACTGAAATTAAGCTGGAAAACCAGTTTCCAAACCATGGCCTTTTCTACTGCTGTTCAAGAAATACTGAAAATGCCTTTGTGACTCATTGCATATGAGCAACCTGTAACTGCTGACACTAACATGAAAGTTTTTGTACAAAGACTTGAAAGTAAGCATGACATCTATCACTGCTGTTCTTTCACCACACATTAAAATAATTTTTACTGAAGCTGTGTCCATTTGGAATTTCCATCACTGAAATGGCAGCCGGCAGCTAAACGTTTGTACTTATTTATAGTTATTTACGTTATGACTTACTGGTGGACAATAAAATAAACTTGTTGGAATGCCTTAAGTTTGTAACAAATAAAAAGTTACATTGATCAGAACAGCTTACCAAAATATGTGACAGCTATCTGCCAGTTAATTTCTCAAGGCAATGCTTTAAATCGTTAGAGTTAACCTGTCTGATTTTAAATTTATACAAAGCTTGGCAGTTAACTGTCAAACATCATTAACTAGTGCTTGATAATGCCACTCCCAAATTAATTTGTCAACAAATCAATACTCTTCTGTCACACAGTATTACCGCTGGTTTTCATCTTAAACTGGTATCCTTGAAAATTGACTTGATGAGTGCAATTTGACAAAATGTCGTTTTTCCACAATTTGCAAGTTCTACAACCAAATTCACTAACCCCCTGTCTATTATATATTTAGTTCCTTATGTCATTTTTAATGAATACCTTGGCACATAAATGTGATTACAAAAATGTTATGGTAAAGAATCAAACTATTTGATCAAAGTATTAAATTGTTTAGCCTCATTATCTCAAGCATGTTAGAACTTATTGCAAACAACATCTCATTGACTGGATTTTTTTTATAACCAGTCCATTATCACCATAAAACCATTCTCCTTTCCCATCTGGCCACTGGATCACTGGATAACTTTGCAAATATGGACATTCTCTGGGCTGTAATCCTAGCGAGTAATTGAAGATTGTGCCTGTTTGTGACCTGCCCAGGAAAGCATTCCAGCATCCAGTTTCCAAAGGAGAGCAGGATTTGCAACCCTAGGACCTTAAGTGATGAGAGGGTGGACAAGAGATCAGTGGAAGGAAATTCAACACAATGAATCACTTTAAGAATAATTTTAAATTATTCTTAATGTTGTTTCAGGCTATAATTCCGTGGCTTTGACTCATGTGACTTATCCAAAAACAACGTGAAACAAGCCAAAACACCAGTGTAGTCTTCATGAACTTAAGTGTTAGCCCTCAGAGATTAGGGTAAAGGAAACGCCAGTTTAAGGAATTCCAACCCTTTCCCTGTCAATAGGCGCGTCTGGTTTAGGCAAAGGCCCCACCAGCAAATACAAGGTACAATAATCGCAAAGAAACATAGAAACATTAAAAAAAAATGCAGGAGTAGGCCATTCAGCCCTTCGAGCCTGCACCAACATTCAATATGATCATAAATAAAAACTGAAAGAACTGCGCATGCTGTAAATCAGGAAAAAAACACAAGTTGCTGGAAAAGCTCAGCAGGTCTGACAGCATCAGTGAAGAAAATATCAGTATTAATGTTTTGGTTCGGGAAGGATCACTGGACCTGAAACGTTAACTCTGATTTTTTCATCATAGATGCTGCCAGACCTGCTGAGCTTTTCCAGCAACTTCTGTTTTTTGTTCAATATGATCTGGCTGATTATACAATTTCAGTATCCCACTCCCACTTTCTGTCCATACCCTATTCTCCCTTGAGCTGCAAGGGCCACGTTCAGCTGTCTCTTGAATATATCTAACAAACCGGCCCCAACAGCTTCCTGTCCATACCAACCCTCCAAAGAGCATCCCACCCAGACCCACCCCCCTAACCTATCCCCATAACCCTGTATTTCCCACAGCTAATCCACCTAACTACACATCCTCGGATACTATAGGCAATTTAGCATAGCCAATCCACCTAACCTGCGGACATCTTTGGACTGTGGGAGGAAGCTGGATCACCCGGAAGAAACCCATGCAGACCCGGGGAGAATGCACAGACTCTGCACAGACAGTCACCCAGTGCTGTGCCATCCACTTTAAATTAGTTTCCTCTGCATTTTCTTTGTTGTCCCTATAATTTCTGCCTATCCATTCCTTCCTGTTTCCTCATGATCTTAAACACAAATCCCCTCTCAATCTTCTCTTTAGGAACAGCCACAGCTTCCCAATAAGTAACTGAACTCTATCATTGCTGAAACCATTCAGTTAAATGTCTTTTGCATCCTCTCTAAAGTCTTCACATGGTTTCTAAATTGTGGCAGCTAGAATTGGATGCAGTTGTTGTTGAACCAGTATAGAGACTAGGTCCCATCGCCCATTTTGACCATTCTCACAACCATCCTGCTACCTTCAGTAATTGGTTCACAAATACTCCAAAGTCTTTCTGTCTTTGCACTCCTTTAGAATTGTACAGTTCAGAGTGATAACACTTCTTTCCAATGAAATGTGTTGTTTCCTATTTCTCTGTATTCATTTTCACCTGGCTTCATATGCCTTCTCTTTCATGCCATGAGTCCATATAATGCAGTACTGGGGGCATGCTGCACTGCCAAAGGTGCTATCTTTTCAAAGCGACATTAAACATAAACCCTGTCTGGCCTCTCAGTAAAAGATCCCATGGTGCAATTTTGAAGACAGGTGTGGCCACAGTGGTAATAACATTCAATGCAACAACCAATTTGACAACAAGGCACCTCAAACTGCAATAAGCAGGATTCCAGTCCTGGGTCAATGTTGATCCTTCAACAAAGATTACCAACGTGCTTAATGGTCATCACTGTTGCTGTTTCTGATGCTTCTTATATTGCAAGTGACTATCTTGCCTATGAACTATTACAGATAATGTTTCATCTGGAAGAGCGAACAGGGCCCCGGTTTAATAACTCACCTAAAAGATGGCATCTCTGACATTGCAGCATTCCAGCCAAGGGCCAACTTAGATCGGATGCTCAACTTCCTTATACAGAAGGTTACTGAACAGCTGGTAACATTGTGTCGAAAGTGAGTCAACCAATTGAGGAAGTCTCAGATTGAATATAATGAGATGTGCAGGGGCTTTTTTTTTGTTTCGTGGAAGTTTGATTTGAGGATTCAGTACGTCAGGACCACTTACGACCACAGCTCTTAAAAGTTACGGGAAGATATCTCCTTAAAATACCAGTACGGGAAGATATCTCCTTAAAATACCAGTGAGAAGAAAAAGAAACATCAGCATTTACTATGGAAGAGACCGCAGCCTGTAAACAGCAAGTCGCCTCTTACCTTAATCTTCTCGCTGAACATCGGGTGGAGTTAGTAAACGAAATTAAAAACACTGAATGCATCTTGGAAAACCTGCTACAGTCTGGATATTTCACCACAGAAGACAGGGAACTTGTACAGAGGAAGAGAACTCGACACGACAAGGTACGCAAGGCTGACAAATCAGCGAGGGGCGATCTGATCATTGTGTTTAAAAATGTCGAAGGGATATGAGAAGTAAGAAAGAGAGACACTATTTCTTCTAGTGGGGAAATTGAGAACAAATATACATAATTTTGAAATCAATTTCAAAAGGAAATGATTTTGCACAAGGGGTAGTGGCTCTTGGTGTATGAGGTGATTTGGAGGTTTTAAGTCTGAGTTTGATAATTATTTAATTGTGAGGTTTGTAGTGCAAAGGTGGGAAAATAGATTTGAGATGCCGATCAGCTGTCATCTAACAGCGTGGTGAAGAGTGCATGAGGATGAGTGACCAACTCGTTTCGCTTTTGTTCTCATGTTTCTCCCCACAACAGTTTTGCTCAGCCCGAGGGGTTCAGCATAATACCTGCGCTATACAACACTCAACGTTTGACTCCTAAGACATGGTTCCATATAGTCATGTCTACCACCCCTTCCCCGAGGGAATGTTGCATTTATTTCCCTTCTTGGTAATCAGTAAATCAAACTAAAATTAAAATTATAGAAACCCTACAATGCAGAAGGAGCTTATTCAACCTGTCAGGTCTGCATCAGCCCTCTGAAGAGCATCTCATCCCTGTAACCTCATGTGGGGTGTGCACATCTCTGGACACTTTAGCATGGCCAATCCACCCAACCTGCACACCTTTGGATTCCTATGTAGACACCGGGAGAGTGTGTAAACTCGACATAGACAATCGCCCAAGGCTGGAGTCATACCCAGATCCCTGTGAGGCAACAGTGCTAACCACTGTGCCACTTCCATTAGTTTTGTTATCAGAGCAATCCCTACAGTGTGGGAGCAGGCCATTTGACCAATTGAGTCCACAATGAGCCTCCAAAGAGCATCCCACCCAGATCCACCCCCTTCCTGTAACCCTGCATTTTTTCCATGGCCAATCCACCTAAGCTGCACATCTTCAGACTGTGGGAGGAAACCCACCCAGACACAGGGAGAACATGCAAACTCCACACAGACAGTCACCCAAGGCTGGAATCGAACCCAGGTCCTGGCGCAGTGAGGCAGCAGTGCTAACCACTGAGATATTGTGCTACCCCTATGGGTCTTTCAACACATGCAGAGTGGTGGGATAATAGTCATCATAGTCTGAGGATCATTGAGATACTGTCTCATTAGAGGTGGTGAGTTTAACCTGAGGGTCAGTGGGCTGCAGGAGAGGTTAAACAGGATGGAATGCAGGAAATGACCCCCATGTTGTTGGTGAGACTCTACATCGCAAACTAACTAGGCTATTTAACACCCCCTAACTGGTAGGTAACTCCTGATAACTACTGCACTTTTTTAACGATTGTGCAATTAAAAGAATGAATGTAAGTTTAGTCCTTCAAAACAGGCAGGTTTGGGAACTTTAGAAGTCTGAATCTGACCCCAATCAGTTCAGGTTTTAATGGTGGCAGAATGGGGACCAGGCAACCAGTAAACCCTCTTCCATAAGGTAGCTAGGCAATTTAAATATTATAATAAGTTTGTGTACCTCAACGTTATCCACCATTTGAAAGTTTACTCTGTCTGGTTCGAATTCCCAGGCCTTAAGAAAACTTGTCAGCAGAAGGGAGGTGAGCATTGGTACATCCAAGAGTTAAGTGCCTGTCTACTTTATGGATCCAGTAACTCTGCCTTACTAGTCCTTTGCAACTGGGCAACCAATCCCCACCCCTCACCCTTATGACCCATCCCTCTTGATCGCTTCCATCCAATTTCCTCCCTGAGGTCTCTAGTCACACCCCACTAACCCCCTGCCCCAACGCTCAAAACCATCAATTGCTTCTGGAGGTCTCTGATAACACCCCACCCTGGTCTTCAATCACCCCATGGTCTCAGATTCTCCTCAAGCCAGGTTTACAATTAATCCTGGACTTCCAACCCCTACCCGTCCCCACCCCACAATCTGTAAGCTTTTTCTAAGTCTTCTGAGCCGTCCAGTCTCATCTGCCCTGCCCTCCCCAACAGAGACCTCCAATCTCCCGAAGGTCACTGACCACCCCTACTATTTTACTCTCTCTCTTGCCCCCCTCAACCCCCCACCCCCCCCCCACCCCCATGCCCTCTGCCATTCCCCCATATCCTTTCTAGCATTCCTATAGTATAACAATCTGGCCTTGAAGATCATCTCACATTTATGTAGTGCCTTCTTATCACAGGACTTCCGAAAGCACTTTACACTCAGTGAAGTACTTTTGTAGTTTAGTTTTGAAGAACAAGAAGAGTAAGGAGTTTGTGGGCCCCTATGCCAGTAAGATTGAGACCATCACACGGGCTGCCTCTCCCACTTCCCTATCCCACTGGGTCAAACTTCCTCTATAGCTCCCCACTGCATTAGCCCTGAACTTGTATACTTGTCTCATTTTTCTCGGATTTCCCCTTTTGTCCTCCCTGAGATAATCTTGTTCACAAGACCTTCATGTGACCCTTTTCCCACTAAACTGCTGAACCTTGAACTTCCTTTCACACTTCCTAGGTTTGATGTTATTTAATGGTTCTCTTTACTCAGGTATGTTCCCTTAAACCTAACCTTAACTCTACATTAATTGTGCTTCCCCTCAAAACAAAACTAACCCTGGATCCCTCTGTTCTTGTGATTTCCAATCTACTCTCCTCTCTAAAGACATTGATTACCCTCTTGCCTCCCAAATCTATGTCACTTTTCCCCGAAATTTGTGTTTGAAACCCTCAGATCAAATCTCCACCTCTGCAACAGTACCAAAACATCTCTTGACAGAGACAGTGACATCCTAATTGTGACTGTGACGATGATAATCCATCCCTGTCATCCTTCTTGACCTATCTACAGCCTCTAACACAGTTGACCATCCCATGGACCAGTGCTCCTCTCTGTTGTGCAGTAATCTGAGTGGTCTGATTCCATTCTTGTCTATCTAATTATAGCCAGACAATCGGCAGCACTGGTCCCCACATGGTTACTTCTTGTGCCCCTGAAGAATCTTTTCCTTGGCCTCTTCTTATTTCTCATTTACTTGCTGCATCACTTTGGCGACATTATCCAAAATCACTTTAGTTTCCAACACTTTACCATATCTCTAAAATCTTTAAATGACAAAGCTGCTTGGCTGAAATCCAGTTTCAGATGAGCAGAAATTTCCTCCAATTAATTTAGAAAGACCAAAACCATATTGCATTGTCTTCAGATTCCATTACAGACTCTATACCTCTCAAAGGGCACTTGCCTCAAGCTGAACCAGACTCTGTGCAACCTTGGTGCCGAAGTTGATTTCAATGAGCTTCTGACAAGTATCTGTACTATCACTAAGACTACCTCCATAATAATGATTAATTTTCTCCACCAGTGTCCCAGTTCATCTGCTCCTGAAGTCCTCTTGTGTTAAGTATCCTCTGCATTTTATTATTGCAGAGCACCTCTGGTTGGTCTCTTACTTTTACCTGCCAGAGATGCTAGAATTTTCAAAACTCATGCTCTAATGCCTACACTGAGAGAGCTGATGGTGTAGCGGTAATGTCACTGGGCTAGTACACCAGAGACCCAGGCTAGCGTTTTGGGGACATGGGTTCAAATCTTCCCATAGCAGTTGATGGAATATAAAGTTCATTTTAGTAATGGCGACCATGATGGCAATCATTTTTCTAATTGTAAAAACCAATCTGGTTCACTAGATTGTTCTTTGGGGAAGGAAATCTGGAATCCTTACAGTGTCTGATCCATATGTAAGTCCAGATCCAGAGCAATGCTGTTGACTCTTAACTTCCCATTGAAATGATGTGGGCAATGTTACAAAGGTGGAAATAAGTACTTTCGTGGTTTTAGTAACAATTATCTTTTTACCAAGATTTTGATCATATATTATCTGGCTTGGTGCCATATTTGCATTTTTCCAATCCTGTGAAGCACTTTGGTTTGGACATGAAATGTAAATATGTCAATATAAGTTGCTGTATTATAAGAAGTTGAACACTGCAAAGTCTGACAGACAGCAATGTGACAATGACCAGGTGGTATTAGTGATAATGGTTGACGAAGAAGTATTGGTGAGATAGCAGATAGAACAACAGGGAAAGTCTCCTGTTCTTCTTTAATGCCCTGGTACTTTTTCCATCTAACTGAGGCAGCGGATGGAGTTTCAACTTAATGCCTCATTTTGAATGATGGCACATGAAGCATTGAAGCAGCCAGGTGTCAAGCTGGATTGTGAATTTAGTCTGTGTAATGGGATCCCAGTAGTGATGAACTCTGGTAGTTTGGCAAAAAAGAGGGCTTCTTACAAAGAAATTAGAAGTGTTACGTTCTAGCACCTTTAAGATAAACACTTCCTTGTTGACTGAAAACATCATAAACCACAACCTGGCAATGACCCAAGTGGTGAAGACCCAGGTTTGAACCTTCAGTGGCTGGTCTGGACAACCACCAACCATTCCAGGGAAGATAGAGCCAATTGCTCCACAAGGGAGACACTCGAGCAACAACTCAGACAGTGGCCGTGGTCATTGAAATCAGGCTATTGCCCACAAACTTAACTCCTGCACTCTGGTCACATCGTAACCATTCACAATGCATCAGATGAAGTCACTGACAGATTGTTAACCTCAACATTAAATTATAATTGCTTCCTCAGCCAAACAAAAATAAGTACCAGCAAAAAGTCTGCATGTACTTCTTGTTCTCATCTAGATGGAGTTCAGTGTGTCCTGAGGCACAGCCAGATGCTACACTTTGATAATTTCAGTCAGTCTCTTTGGTTATAGTAAAAAGGAGCATATAGGGTCTGGCTGCTCTCTGGGTCTGAGATGACAAGGCAGAGACTGTGGTCCAAATTCGTGCTCCTGAGTCAGGAGAGAGAATCGCAAAGTTTCTTGACTCTGGCACGAGGCTTGAGGGGAAGCTTGGAAATGAGTGTGTTGGTGAGATATGTTTCTGTCACCAAGAGCAGGATGGCTCAGTGGTTACCGCTGCTACCTCACAGTGCCAGGTACCCAGGTTTGATTCCAGCCTCTGGTGACAACTGTGTGGAGTTTGCACATTCTCCCCGTGCCTGCAAAGATTTCCTCCCACAGTCCCAAGATATGCAGGGTTAGGTGGATTGGCCTGCTAAATTGCCCATAGTATCCAGGGATGTGAAGGCTAGGTGCACAGTGATAGGGTAGGGAGGTGGGTCTGGGTGGAGTGCTCTTTGGAGGGTTGGTGTGAACTTGATGGACCGAATGGTCTGCATCCACACTGTAGGGATTCTAAAAGGCCTTGCTGGAGGAGGGACTCAACACAGCAGTGACTACCAGTCCATCAGTAATGAGTATAATCAATGAGAACCATTAAAGGGCTAGTTAGGCTTGAAATTATTGTGCTGTTGCTGTCTCAAAGCACTCAGGCCCCCTTGAATGCAACTGGGTGGTAAATAGCAGATGCCTTTCAGTAGCAGGCTATGTGAACACCAGGTTCCATTAATATTTCAATGTTAAATAGCCGGGAGGAAAGGGTCGCAGTCGTGGCAAAAAAAAATTCTATAAAGCACTTTTCCCTTCACACTAATTGCCTGTCAAATGACGTCCTCAGTCATCTTTACATTTTCAGAATGGTGGAGACAGCGCCTCCAATGTAAGGCTGCTTCACAGTCTGTTGCCTGTCACACCAGCACCTCCCTCTCCCAGTGAGGCTGCTGGCTTTCCACAGTTTTTGGCCCTTTGAATGAACCTCCCACCTTGAGAATGTGCCTATGTTTCTTAACTGGATGGCGAGTGCGAAGGCAGGTTCTTCATCTGCGAACTGCCATGAGATAAGGGGACACCAATTGGATAGGAATCTGGATTTGTTCCTGATATTGGAACCTCCACAGTTATTCAGATGCAACCTTTTTTCACAGTATCTGTGACCATGAAACGACCATGTTGGCATTAGAAACCCATTTGATTCACAAATGTTCAAGGAAGGAAATCTCCCGCTCATCTTTTTTGATCCAAATGTGATTCCAAGCCCATAACAATGTAATTGACTCTTGACTTCTCTCTGAAACGGCCTGGCAAACCACCCAATTGCATTCAAGAAGGCACCATTGCTTGTTCAAGGGAAAGTAGAGATGGCTAATAAATGCTGGTTTAGTCAGCAAGGCCTACATTCCATGAATGAACTAAAAAATGACACTAACCATTTGTCATCACCAGAGAAATTATGATGGTGCCATATGTTTCAATTGTATCTGCTGTTTGGAAAATTCAGTAAGTTCTTAACCATCTTGTGTTCATGAGATCTGTACCTTATTTAGGGAATTTGATTCACCAAAGAGATCAATATAGAACTGTGAAAGGTGAGACAGAAAGAAAGAAAGAAAAGCACAGTTGAAGCTGAAAGAAAAGCACAGTTGAAGCTGCTTATGAATTCATTAGGAGCAGTTTAATCCTTATAAGTCGAACATTGTGTTAAATTCTACCCTTCTGAAATGCGTTAGCTTTGGTCTCTTAGACTTTTGAAAAGAAGAGACTGAACATTGAAGTTGAACAGAGGAAATTTAACATTGAGATCTAAATGAGGAGTCTTACTATGGGTGGCACAATGGCAGTGGTTAGCACTGCTGCCTCACAGCGCCAGGGACCCAGGTTCAATTCCACCCTCAGGTGACTGTCTGTGTGGAGTTTGCACATTCTCCCTGTGTCTGCATGGGGTTTCCTCCAGCTGCTCCGATTTCCTCCCACAGTCATGTTTAGGTGGATTGGTCATACTAAATTGTGTCTGGGGATGTGCAGGCTAGGTGGGTTAGACATTGGAAATGCAGGGTTATGGGAATAGGGTAAGGGGACTGGGTCTGTGAGAGATGCTCTTCAGAGGGTTGTTTGGACTTTATGGGTCGAATGGCCTGCTGCTACACTGTAGGAGTTCTATGAATCTTATAACAGAAATTGAAAAGACACAGCTATTTTATTTTAACTGGATATTGCTTATAGTGACCAAAATTACATTAATGCTAATGCACCCACTATATACAGATGGGATTGTATTTATGCAGCAGTCTTTAAGAGATAGACCATGTTAATTACATCCCCAATGTTAGGCATCACAACTGTGCTCCTATTACCAGCTTTGCTTACCAGAAACATTGCAGAGACCAGCCGGTATTTAAATCTTAATACTTATTCCTAGAGAACCTTCAACATATAAAAAACAAAATCCCAATGCAGGAGAAGTAAGGAAATGGACACTGAGCGTTTGCTGGAGAGTTAATAGAGATGACTGAAGACTTGATCAAACACAATGGAATTATGAAAGCTTTTTAAGGACAATAAGTGGTCAATAACTAAAAGAGAGGTTTCTCTTATGTAGAATTAATATGATTGGACATTGTGAGTTGAATAGTGGAAGAAAGTATGTACTGACATGAGGCAAGATGACAAAATAACCCAAAATGAGATACTGGAAATGAGGTAAGGTAGGGTAAACCATGGGATTTATATGTATTGGTGGATTAGTGTAGATCAGGAGGAATGCAAATAATGGGCAAAAAGGGTGAAGTGGGATATGAATAACTGAGATCTAAAGCAATTTCGAGAATATTATAAGCCATTAACACATTAATATACCAACTTGAAACTGTTTATTTTTGATATCATCAAATTTATTGCTACATTTTCTTTAGGTGCGTGAAATCCTTGACATAATATGCAACAAAGGACATGAAGCTGCTGAGTATTTTGTATATGTGATGTACAAGGCTAAAGATGTTTATCCAGAGCTGCAGGATTGGATAAAAATAATTGAGTATCAACCATCTGAGCATTTAGAGAGAAAGGCAATTCTCCTCACAGATGCTGGTAAGTAATTATATTCTTGATGAAACCAATGTATAAGCCTGCAACATCAAGAAAATAGAACGTCACTGGCCTGACACACGTCATTTGAAGGAGGAATTGGGGAAGAAGTAGGGATCTAAATTACACAATGGGCCCCAAGGTGTGTAAAACAAAGGAATATATTTTCTGTTGTGATTAAAAACATTTATTTCAAATTTCTGATTTCCAAGTTTGTCAGTATTCCGAAAAGCTTAGATGTCAATTGAAAAGGGAAACAAAGTTCGTCACTTCGTATTCCCGGAAAGAAGACGTCTTGTTGGATGATACTTACACTGAGACTCTAATGGAACGAGTCAATGCAGTCAGTGAAACTGAAGGAACCATTTCCAACTTGGAGGATTTGTTCAGTGACACAGGCATCATCAATGAGGATGCAGAGACAGTGTTTGTAACTGGTGATGCTGGGGTTGGTAAGACCATCCTGCTCCAGAGACTTCAGAACCTGTGGTCCAAAGGAGAGCTCTGTGCTGATGTTAAATTCTTCTTCAAATTTAGATGCCGAATGTTCAATAACTTCGAAAAGGAAGATAAGATTTATCTCAGAGATCTACTGTTCAAATACAACTGTTACCCTGACAAAGACGCTGATGAGATATTTAGTTACATCCAACAGCATGCAGATTCTGTTATCTTCACATTGGACGGGTTTGATGAAATTAATGTTGACTGCAACCTTAGTGATATCCCTGATGTCTCTTCACCCTTTGACCCCACACATCCGGTCACTCTGTTGTTGAACCTGCTTCAGGGAAATTTATTGAAAAACTCAAGAAAATTATTGACAGCAAGAACTGGCACAAACCTGCCATTGAGAATGGTGAGAAAGAGAGTGACACTAAAGGGCTTTACAAAGGATAATTTACTGCAATATTTGAAGAAGTTCTTCAGAAATGAATCCCATCAAACTTTGGTTTTGACCCAGCTGGAGGCAAACCCCCATCTGTGTAGTTTATGTTCAGTGCCATTGTTCTGCTGGATTATATTTAAATGCTACAAGCACTTACAGTCAGAATGTAACTCCCAGCAAATATTGGATTATGTAACATTGACTGACATCTACCTGTTGATGTTGGAGGTTTTCCTAAACCGTTCTTCCAAAATGAGGTTGAACAAAAGAAACAAAAGTCAAAGTGAGACATTCAAAGCGAAGAGGGATTCTCTAATGAGTTTGGGAAAATTGGCAAAAGAGGGAATTGAAAGCAATAACTTTATCTTTAGTCAGGAGCAAATTGCAGCAGCTGGCATCTCAGAGGAGGATTTACAGTTGGGTTTTGTCAAGAGTGCAGGCCACTATGATGGATGTGGGAACCAATCCACTTATGAATTCCTTCATCTGACCCTCCAGTCATTTTTCACCGCGCTTTTCCTGGTTGTTAATGAGAGAATTAGTGCGAAGGAAATCATTATGTTTTTTACTGGCAAGATACCACGTGGAGGGCAGTCATGTCCACTCAGCTCTTCATTCTCATGCAAAAACTCCAAGAGGAGCTCAAAAGAACACTTGCTCGAGTCCCAAGAACACTTTCAACTAACTGTTTTCTTTCTTTGTGGCTTGCTTTCCAAAACCAAGGTAGATGTACTGAATCGTTTAACTTGCCAAATAAGCATTCAAAAGAAGAGAGCAGCATTGAAATCCTACCTTGTTGGCTGTGTGAAAACATACATGAGCAATGATTTCTATCAGATGCGAGCTGCCCCACGCTTCAAATGGCTGGTGAGATGCATATTTGAAGTGCAGAGCAAAGAAGTAGCCAGACTTGCTGCCAAGAAAATTCATCAAGATTATATAAAGTTCACCTATTGCAATGTCTACTCAGCAGACTGCAGTGCAATCACTTTTATTTTACGCGACCTTCAGAAAACAATTGGGCTTGAGCTAGACAATAACAACATCAATGACTACGGAGTGAGAGAACTAATTCCTTGCTTCAGTAAACTTCGCATTATCGGGTAAGATACATAAACACATCCTTCTATTCTTTTAGAGCTAGTAAGAACTGCACATGCTGGAGTCAGAGATAACACAGTGTGGAGGTGGAGGAACACAGCAGGTCAAGCAGCATCGGAGGAGCAGGAAAGCTGACGTTTCGGGTCTTCAGAAATGGGGGGTCCATTCTATTCTTTTATTGTGTCTGAGGGTTTACTTACACGCGAGTTCATCTATGTAAGCTTGGATCAAGGGGAATGTTAGTTTTCAGTTCTCTTTATGCCAACCAGATTAGCAATTTAAAGGAGTCTTTTCTGATGGATTTATTTAACTGCAAGCATAGAGAGATCTCTCACAAAGTTATTTTTATCAGAAATTGACAATGCCTAAAGTGTAAAATGTGGTACAGCTACAGAGTGATAGTTTTTCTGCTCTATTGATTCTGGGCCTAGACTAATAGGCCAAAGAATGTGAAGTAAATCTTGTGGGGAATTTCATTTCACTTTAAAAATGATTCAAGAAATAAAAAAGCAGAAACTCCATTTCACGTTCACTTTTATTGCAGGCTATCTTGAAAGATTATAATTTTGTTAAAAGCAGTTTCATTAATATCACTGTTCCTGGTCTATGTGGACTCCAACTACAGGTCTGTGGGCAATCAAACCACTCAGTTGTAGTAAACTTCTGATTGTTCATCAATGCCAGGCTTACCTGCAATATCTACCTCCCAAGAACGAATCTCTAAAAGACATAGTTTTTGCTGATGCAAGAATCTGTACTGTCAAACTACACTTGCTTAGATTTTATGCTATTGTACATATGCAGGTCAAATATGCTACAGATTGTTAACTCTGGCTAGCAAGGCTTCCTGCAGGTCCCACAAAAATACACAGAAAAATATCTAATGGCTATTTTGTGAATGGCCTCCATTGACCCTTCAGGAATCATTTACACTACCAAAACCTGAGAATAATTGGGTTGGAATGTGCATGCCACATTTTCCACCCATTGGTTATGCAACTGATTCTATAAATGGCTATTTGCAGAGTCTCCTAGGTTCTCTCTTGCTTTAGGTGAGGTCACTAGCTACCCCTTTGAAAATCATTTGAAAATTACAGCAAGTGGGTCCTTGTTGGGTGAGTTTTTAATCTGGTCGTTGGTTGATCCAAATTATCATGTACTTCTCCAAAGCTTTGCAGTTGTATCTTCAAACTATCAGATTTGTTATCTTGGTTCTATAAAAGGAAACATTTTCACTTAAAGAACACCTTCCAGAACCTTCAGATTTCCCAAAGCATTTTGCAATCAAGATATTACTTTGGAAGTGTAGTCATTGCTGTAGGAAATAGACCAGTCATCTTGTACACAGCAATGTCACAAATAGTGCCATGTGACTTTGTTTACTTTGGTCATCCTAATATCTCCTACTGTGACTTTATTCAGGTTGAATGCAAATCAAATCACAGATGAGGGAGTTCAAGTGCTATCTGAAGAACTTAGAAAGTATAAAATTGTTCAATTTCTTGGGTAAGTTAGCAAGGTAAGAAGATATTCAGATTACATTCTTCCCTTGAATGTTAGGACATATAGTGACAGATGAATTCGTTGCGAACAGTATATAGATACTTTCCATTTGTATTAAGTGTTTCAATAAGGGATTTTTATCATAAAGTTCATGTATTGATGCATATGATTGTTTGAGGTCAGGGCTTCTATTCGCTATATGTGATCAATATCTAAATAGATTCATATGGGGAATAATTTTGAAATTAATGGTTTATACCAAAGTAGGGGGAGTAAATGATTTCTTCTGAAGAATGAAGGAGTAGTGTAAAAATATAATATGGAATTCAATGTAAGTGTGAGGTAGTGAATTTTTGTTTTTAAAAATGGTAATTATACTCTAAATGAAAGTGTGGAACAGCAGACAGTTTTGGGAGTACAGCTTCACAAGACATTAAAGGCAGCATTCCAGGCTGATGAAGCTGTAAGGAGTTATGTTTTAGGATTTTATTACAAAAATATATATAAAAGTCAATAGACAATGATTAGTCCTTACAAGATTTCAATAAGACCTCGGTTTGAGTGCTGGGTGCAAATGTGGGCTCCACACTGTAGAAATGATGAGGTTTTAGAACAGTTATCATGCCAAATTTAATTGTGAGATTGTTTAGAATAATGCCACAGGGCAAAAGCATTTCACTGCCTGTGTTTAACCGTTAAGGGTTACTGTTTTCCAGAAAACATTTTGTAAGGACTGTTTCTAATTTGGGGAGGAGTTTTGTTCTGAATAATTCTTGTTGTGGTGATAGCAAGTTTTCAAGTTTTCCTGTTGACAATGTGTTTGCAACAAATGGATTTTTACGACGGTTTGTATTTCTATAAAGGATATCTTTCAGTCATCAAAATGGTGTACTATTGTTTTGTATTCCAGTTCTCTGTCACCTCTGCTCTTTGCTAAAAAGAAAGGCATTTTCAGGGAAGGTTAATTCATTAATTGAATTAATTAATAAGCTCTTTACCAAATTGAATGCAAAGGGGCTCTGCTTTTGAGGTCTGCTTCCCTCTGTTTTACTGATAAGATTCTGACATGAGCTAGTTTTGGACTTTTCCGTTGTATTTAATTAGAGTTGACAATCATTCTATTGCTATAGCATACTGTGATGTGAAAGGCTACACAAAATGTTCAAATCTACATACACTGTTAGAAGATCTGCCTTCAGCTGTTCACACAATACAACATGCACAAATAAATAATAGAATGCAGCCCAAATAAAACTGTGAAACCAGGACTGCTATCATCTTGATGGCAGCATGATGTCAGATTGTAAACCCGATGTCAGATTGTAAACCCAATGTCAACATGCTGGTTTTCCAAAATATTGTACTCAGGCTGGCACCGAAATTGGCAGTCTATCTGCCTTTTGAAAAGACTTGTTATTGGGAAATCGGTCTTGGTCATAAACTAAGTGATTGAATATAACGCTGACCTTGCCATAATGAAGTTGGCAAGGGGAGACAAGAAAAAGTATCCAAGCTGCTTCTTCATCAATTCTAGCGTTTTAAAAAAAGGAAGGAAGGTGCCCTGTGTTCATCAAGGGCACCAGGCCCCAGGTTGGTACCCCTCCTATACAACCGATTCCTCCCAATTCAGAAATCTAGTCTGACCTGAGTTTGGGATATATACTGGGTTCTGATGCTGCTGGGACTCAAAACAAAACTTGATTGGCAACACTAGAAAGTTCGACCTCTTTCCACTAGGGGTAAGGAGGTACCATACTGAGCTTGGTAAAGCTGACCTACAGCATAATATCTGTAGCCAGGCAATCTTTGCAAGGTTGCTTCATCAGCAGCTGACTTTTTTGACAGGAGGGTGAGCAATAAGCTGTAGGATTCAGACTCATGGAACTAGAAACAATGTATTTCATTTATTAATGCTGATTTTGCCAGCAAATCGTAATTGGTACCGGTACTTGCTGTCCACAAAGGAGGTGAAAGTTGAGATGATGAATGATTTTGAAGAGAAATTGAATGGGAAATAAACCTGCGGGGATAAAATGGTTAAGTGAGTGAATGGGACTGTTTTGGGTTTATTTTCAGAGAACTGGCATGCTTTTGATGGGCTGAACAGCCTTTATCTGTGTGGCATGGTGGCTCATTGGTTAGCATTGCTACCTCACAGCGGCAGGGACCCAGAGTTGATTCCAGCCTCGGGCTATTATCTGTGTGGAGTTTTCACATTCTCCTTGTGTCTGCATGGGTTTTTCTCCCACAGATCAAAGATGTGCAAGTTAGGTGGATTGACCAAGCTAAATTTCCCATAGTGTCCAGGGATGTACCAGCTACATGGATTAGCTATGAGAAACACAGGTTATAAGGATGGTTTGGGATGCACTTTAGAAGGGGTGGTGTGGACTCGACAGGCTGAATGGCCTGCTTCCACACTGTAGGGATTCTACTGGCTCCATAATACGTCAGACAATTGTGAGAGGAAATTTGCCACTGAATCACACAAGACATTGGTACTGATATTCAAAATTTTGTTAAAAAGGGAGGTTTACAAGTGAGATTAAAGGGAGAAAATGATTGGTGAAGTTTAAGGATAAAATTCCAAAGTTTTGGACCTGGACGGATGAAGTAAAATGAAGGTAGAATGAATAAAGTAGGCATTGCAAAGATCATAAGAAACAGAAGCTGGAAGGCAGAACTAAAGTATTGTTGAGGTCTTGGAGAATTGAAGGAGGATAGATTGTTCTTCCTAATGATTAGCAACCAGCGATTGCTGACTCGAGTGGGATTGTTGAGTATTATTACTATATTTTCTCTGTGCAAGACCCCATTATCATTGTGTAATGTCTTTATTCATATTTGTTTTTCCAGCTTATACAAAAATCAGATTACTGATGCTGGTGCCCAGTATGTTTCAACACTTATTGATGAATGTCCAAGTCTACTCAAGTTGGCGTAAGTAGGATTGATTTAATTAATTCATACAGAACATCAATCTAAAACTATACTAATCGTGTAGTTAGAGGCCAAGTTATGCAATGTCTTATTTTTAAGACTAAAGAGACATGGGATGGTGTCATGCAAATAGTTACTGGTTGCTAAATCCACAGTATTGTCAAAACAGCCAAACAGCTGCGTGCGTGAAAGTATATGCATGTGTATGTGTGCGTGTGCGTAAGGGCGGTGGTGATAAAGTTGCCCTTTCAGTTTCTGTTACCTCAGGAAGCATCTGCTTTCTGCTGTGTGGTTCCATCTAGTCATGAACTTGTCAGATTAGAATCTCACACAATAATAGAAATAGAAACAACATTACATGTGTAAAGAATCACATCATTTCCATGTACATTGACACACATTTGAGAAAGAACTGTAATACAAAGAAGAAGGCGGTGGCCTAGTGGTATTATTGCTGGACTGTTAATCCACAGACCCACATAATACTCTGGGGACCCAGGTTCAAATCCTGCCACAGCAAATGGTGGAATTTGAATTCAATAAATATCAGGATTTAAGAGCCGAATGGACCATGAATCCATTGTCAATTGTTGGAAAAGCCCATCTGGTTCACTAATGTCCTTTAGGGAAGGAAACTGCCATCTGGCCTACATGTGACTCCAGACCCATAGCAATGTGGTTGACTCTTAACTGCCCTTTGGGCAATTAGGGATGTCTAGCCAGCAACGCCCTTATCCCGTGAATGAATAAATAAAAGTCTAAATTAGAATTCAGAGCACTATAGGGATCTGACATGTTTGCAGCAAGATTGTAAAAGTATTCAGACTGAATCCTTGCATGAAAGATGCCACTTCTAAATTATTAATCGTCATCATTAGTCATAATCAATGCAACTCTTACTGTGAGGTTCTCATGGGCCTGTTGCAACCATTAACTTAATTCAATCAACTCATTTATTTCACATCCCTTTCAACTCTCTTTGTGGCTGATTTGTCCTTGATTAACTGTTAAACTGTTTGGAAGTGTGGTGCAGAGACAGCTTGGAAATATTCTGTGCATCTTTGTACCAAACCTAGTATCCAAAAGCAACAGCATACCCTAACCTGAGACCCAAGCTAGGCCCATCAGTCAGCAGCATACCCTAACCTGAGACCCAAGCTAGGCCCATCAGTCAGCAGCATACCCTAACCTGAGACCCAAGCTAGGCCCATCAGTCAGCAGATGGTGTCTGACAGAGGGTTGAATGATTTGAAAATTCACACAAATTTCTTCAAGAAGGGCTTCTGTAAATACAGAAAAAATACTGCTCTAGTCTTTTAATCTGAATTATTAGGACAAACATCCCATCATTGCAGTTACCATAACAGCTCCTGTGAATCACCAGGATATCTATTCCTATTTAAATGTTGCTTCCAATAATCATTGTTGTCAAATGTGCTTCTCCATTTGAGAAAATAATGAGGGATTAGTTATTAATTCTTGTATTGATGAAGATTATATCGATCTCAGAATGTGGTTCCCAGAAGCTTAATCTTTGAATCGGTTAGTATGAACACCTACCCACACTGAATTTAATGTATTGAATTTTTATAACGATGTTTTGATTCATCACTATCAGAAAATATCTTCCTGTGAACCACTTTTGAGAGTACAACCAAAGATCACGAGTGATGAGAATATACAATTCGCCAAGTAATTTTTTTTAGGATCCTGTTACAATAAAGAGGCTAGAGTACACACCAAGCATTCCTAAGGAATTTCATAATATTTCAATCCCAGCTTCTGTGAAGATCCTTTTATAGCAAAAGGCACACTGATGAAGAAGAGAAAATGTTAAACTAATTGTTTTCTTGTTTGTGCATTTAAAGCATTGGTTACAACATGATTACATCTGAAGGAGGGAAAAGACTGGCACAAGCAGTTCAGAAAAGTAAAACAATCAAATATCTCTGGTGAGTAAGGGAAAGGATGAAAAATGAAGTGTCTCATGTTTGAATTGTTAAATTCAAACAAATAGTACATTTTTTAAAATATTGCTTTTAAGAAATGACCCAAATATTCACATGTTAGGGTCATGTTCTCGGATTCAGAGTTACTTCAACTTTTATTGTTGCCGAAACATTTTATTTTGGCGCTTTATTTTTGTGTGCAGGTTAGTTGTAATTTTCCTTGGATATTTTCATTGCTAAAGAGCCTCTGAAGTGGCTAAGATTGTGTATTCAACTCCAACACCTCGTGAAAATAACTTTAGCACAAGGTGCCATTGTGGTGAAACAGTTTAAGAATGTGCCGGGAGCAGTCACACAAAGGATAACGAAGGCTTTGATGACCAATTAAATTTGCTTCTTGAGCTCAGTAAAGAGGCTGCACAAAATTTTGTTTGCATGTGCTGTACATAATGTGCCTTTCTACAAAGCATCCACTATTCCATAGGATTCATAAGTTATAGCCGCTCTTTGAAAGCTGTGTTGATATTCCAAGGGCCTGAGGTCATTATCACTGAAATGAATCGTGGACTTGTTTTGGTATTTCCAAAGATATCAGCTTTGGCTCAATGGTAATACTCTTGCTTCTAAATTAGAAGATCGTGGATTTCAAGCCTGATTTCAGAGGCTTGAACACAAAGCAGTGCGAAACACACCAGTGCAGAGGCAAAGAGAAAAATCCTTGTTGTATCTCATTTAAGTATGTGATTTGGTCATAAATTGCATGCCATTTTGTATAATGTGAAAGTTTTCCAGCTGAATTTTCAATGACTGTGAATCTTGAATTGAAACACAGGATGTGGGGGAATCAAGTTGGAGACTTGGGTGCTGAAGCTTTTGCTCAAGCTTTAAGAAACCATCCTTCTCTAAAAGAGCTCAGGTAATCAGATTTCTAACAGGGTTTTGATGACAAAGAATAGACAAAGTCTGATTTAGAAGATCATATTTATATGTACTGTCACTCTAACTTGGCTGTCTTGATAAATTGCCACCAGCTGTGACATAGTCAGAATTCTGCCCTCCTCCAATTTCAACCACTTGCACTTCCCTAATTCCCTTCATCAAAATATTAATGGCTGTGCCCTCAGCTGTCTAGGTTCAGAGCTCTGGAATTCCTGCCCTAAAGCTCTCTTTCTCACTCCAATCCTTTGAGATGTTTCTTAAAACATACCTTTTTGACCCAACATTTGGTCACCTGTCCTAATATTTCCTTAAATGGATTGTTGTCCAATTTTATGTGGTTATACTCCTGTAAAGCACCTCATGATGTTTTGTTGCAATGCTGAAAAATAGGGATGCTGTTGAAGCTCATCAGAACAGAGTTGCAAGAATACCAAATCCTAAAGGGAACAACAAGAGAAATCATGAGGGGCATGGATAGGGTGAATAGCCATGGTCTTTCCCCAAGGTAGGGGAGGCCAAAGCTAGAGGGCATAGGTTTAAGGTAAGAGAGGAAAGATTTAAAAGGGACCTAAGGGGCAACATTTTCACACAGTGGGTGATGCGTGTATGGAATGAGTTTCCAGAGGAAGTGGTGAAGGCTGGTACAATTACAACATTTAAATAAATGTATCTGGATGGGTACATGAATATGGAGGGTCTAAAGGGATATGGGCCAAATTTTGGCAAATAGAACTAGATTAAATACTTTCTAGAGATCATATTTTTTGCATCCTTTGACAAAACTTTGAGAACAGTAGTCTTTTACAAATTTTCACAATACTACATGGTGTATAAGTAACACAAATAAATCTCAGTTCATCCACAGTTTAGGTTTCAGGTCACAACTAAAGAAGTGAGAGAATTTTACAATGCAAACAACAAAGTGCAAGAGAAACTCAGCAGGTCTGGCAGCATCTGTGTAGAGAGAAACAGAGTTAAAATTTTGAGTTGGTGTGACTCATCTTCAGAACTTCTTCAGTTTGCTTTTTATAGAATCCTACAGTACCAAAGAGGTCCTATGACTCATCAAGTCTATACTACCAAAACTCCACTAAATCTACACTTGTCCCACTTTCCAGCACTAGGCCCATAGCCTTGAATGTTATGACATTTTACGTGCTCATTCAACTACCTTTTAGAACCTTGTGAACAAAACCTTGTGAAGTTACCCACCTCAAGTGCTCTCCCAGGCAGTGCATTCCAAATCTCCACCACTGTTATTCGAACTTTAAAATATATAGGTAATCTGAAGGTCTTTGAAATACAAGTTACTCTGATAATCATGACTGCAAAAAATATATTGGTGTGAATCAATCTTGAAATAATGATGGTCTCCTGTCTCTGAGTTCTCCCATTTCTTGACCTTGCGTACTGATCTCACCAGCCCCTCAGCTCTCTCTCTCTCTCTGCTTGTGTTTTAAGCCACCTTGTCAACTTGGATATTACCTTTTGCTTCCTATTTTCTTTCAAAGCTCCTTTATTCTTAGCAATGTGGCAGTTATAAATTAAATTGCTAAAACAGCCAACTGCGGGTTACACTTTACCTGAATGGAAAGATTGCCATTTTGCATATTCATGATTACTACTTCCTGAGGAAATAAAAAAGTAATTATATTTGGAATATATAGTATGCTGTGAATTGTCTACAATTTGTTATCTTTTAATTAAATGTATTTATTCCATAGTCTTGCAGCAAATGGCATTTCCACAGAGGGAGGTAAATATTTAGCTACAGCACTGGAAGACAACAATTGCCTGAAGACACTCTGGTATTAGTTTTGATTGTGTACCTTGGGATTAAGGCTGCAGTTCAGGTGCAATGGAAATCGCTTCTGGTCTGTACAATGATCTTGAGAAAATATCACTTTAGACTGTAATGCACCTTTCAACGCATGAATTAATGCTCAAGTTGTCAGCCTCACGCAGTAGGTCATGTTGGTGCAACATAAGATGATGTTCCAAAATTGGATCAGAATCTCACCTTCGTAGTAAGGCAAAAGGAGCTATCTCACACAAAGGAACTTTCTTCACTGTACCCCTCCTAAAAAAAACTAGATCAATTGGACATTTTAAAACTCAAATTGATTTTTTTATTCACTCCTGAGATGTCGGCCTCACTGGCTGGCCAGCATTTATTGCCAACTATAGTCTCCCTTGAGAAGGTGGTGGTGAACTGCCTTCTTGAACTGCTGTATGGTCCATGTACTGTAGGTAGACCCACAATGCCCTTAGCAAGGGTATTCCAGAATTTTAACCCAGCGACAGTATGGCAATATATTTCCAAGTCAGGATGGTGAGTAGCTTGGAGGGGACCTTGCAGGTGGTGGTGTTCCCATGTGTCTGCTGTCCTTGTCTTTCTAGATGGAAGTGGTAATGGGTCTGGAAGGTGCTGTCTAAGAACCTTTGGTGAATTTCTGCAGAGCATCTTGTAGATCATTCACACTACTGCTACTTAGTATCGGTGGTGGAGGGAGTGATTTTTATGGATGTGGTACCAGTCAAATGGGCTGCTTGGTCCTGGATGGTGTCAAGCTTCTTGGATGCAGTTGGAGCTACAGTCATCCAGGCAAGTGGATAGTATTCCATCACAATTCTGACTTGTGCCTTGTAGATGATGGACAGGTTTTGGGGAGTCAAGAGATGAGTTACTTACTGCAATATTCCCAACCTCTGCCCTGTTCTTGTAGCTCTTGTAGATTTTTGTTCAGCAAAAATATTAAAGAACAGGCCTGAGGTTTGGCTGGTCTACACCGACTCCAATGCACCTCTGGATTTTCTAGCTGTTGATTGCCTGACCTGCTATTAAAATCACTTATTAAGAAATTAAGAAATATTCACCAAAATTTTTCTTTAAGTTTTGGAGTGGGTTGAAATTAATTTCCTCAAGTTTTTTGTCTAAAAATGAATCTTTTTTCTTTCTTTCCCTCCCAGAAATTGTGTGGTGATATGGGGATATCACATGCATGATGCTATCACAGAAACATAGAAAATAGGAGCAGAAGTGGACCATTCAGCCCTGTTCTGCCATTAAATATAATCATGGCTGATCGTCAAACTCAATACCCTATTCCTGTTTTTGCCCCTTAGAATTTGATTCTTTTAGCCCTAAGAACTACACCTAACTCCTTGCAAACATTCAATGTTTTGGCCTCAACTGTTTTCTGAGGCAGAGAAATCCAGAGGCTCACCAGTCTCTGGGTGAAGATATTTCTCCTCATTTCTGTCCTGAATGGCTCACTCATATTCTTAGAACATGACCCCCGTTTCTGCGCTCCTAAGTCATCAGGAACATCTTTCATGCAATGACCCTGACTAGTCCTGTTAGAATTTTATAGGTTTCTATGATATTCTCCCTCATTCTTCTAAACTCCAGTGTATATAGTTCTAACTGATCCAGTCTCTCTTATGTCAGTCCTGTCATCCCAGGAATCAATCAGGGAAAACTTTGTTGCACTCCTTTCATAGCCAGAACATCCTTCCTCATATATGGAGATCAGAACTGCTCACAATACTCCAGGTGTGGTCTCACCAAGGCCCTGTACAACTGCAGCCAGACATCCCTACACCTGTTCTCAAATTCTCTCTCTACACCATTCGGCTTCTTCAGTGCCTGCGGCACCATGACATACACAACTGATATGCTTGCATCTCTGGGCCCACTTTCTCCTTGGAAAAGTAAGGGAAGATACATAAACCAAAGTGGCTAATTTGATAAGTGAGTAAAGCGAGTAGTTATACATTTAAACTCCATATCTCGGCCTCTAAAATTGCAGTGTCATATTCTATACTGGTGCATAAAGCAGTACAATGATTGGGCTATTCAAGAGTGAAATCAGGAATCATTTCTTCACTCAAAGGGTAGTAGGAATCTAGAACGCTTGTCCCTCTTGACCAACTGAAATTTTCATGGCTCAGGTCAATTAAATTTTTTTAGGTAAAGGATAAGTTCAGAGCTGGGGATTGTGTGGTGACTCACCTCCTTGTTTGAATTGAGAAGCTGTGCAAATGTCTGACCTAGTCTTGTGTAGTCATGTGACCTCCATCATGAGGCAGATGTCTTAAGCTTCATTTCAGTTGAGTTTGTTTTACATTTGAAACATTGTGTCAAAAGTGATGAGTGTCAATTGCTGAAATAAAAAATGCTCAGCTGCTGCTTTGTTAGATGCCACTGATAGAAAAACAAAAGTCAGTGTAAACACTGCTTATAGAGTCATAGAGCACGGAAACAGACCCTTTGTCCAACTCGTCAAAGCGGACCAGACATCCCAATCTGACCTAGTCCCAATAGCCAGCATCTAGCCCATATCCCTTTAAACTCTTCCTATTCACATACCCATCCAAATGCCTTTTAAATGTTATACCAGCCTCCACCACTTCCTCTGGCAGCTCGTTCCATACACATGCCACCCTCTGCTTGAAAAAGTTACTCCTCAGGACCTTTTTAAATCTTTCCCCTCTCACTTTAAACTTACGTCCTCTAGTTTTGGACTCGCCCTACCCAAGGAAAAGGACCTTGTCTATTCACCCTATCTATGTCCCTCATGATTTCATAAACCTCCATAAGGTTCAGCTAACGATGCTCCAAGGAAAGAAGCCCCAGCCTATTTAGCCTCTCCATATGGCTCAAACCCTCCAGTCCTGGCAACATTCTTGTAAATCTTTCCTATACCCTCTCAAGTTTAACAACATCTTTCCTATAGCAGGGCGACCAGATTTGTACACAATACTCCAAACGCGGCCTCACCAATATCCTGTATGGCCACAACATGATATCTCAACTCCTATACTCAATGTTCTGACCAATGAAGGCAAGCGTACCAAATGCCTTCTTCATCACCCTGTCTACGTGACTCTGCTTTCAAGGAACTATGAACCTGAACTCCAAAGTCTCTTTGTTCAGCAGGACCTTACCATTAAGTGTATAAGTCCTGTTCTGATTTGCCTCATAAAAATGCAACACCTTACATTTATCTAAATTAAACTCCATTTGCCACTCCTCAGCCCACTGGTCCATCTGATCAAGGTCCCATTGTACTCTGAGATAATCTTCTTCACTGTCCACTACACCACTTATTTTGGTGTCATCAGCAAATTTACTAACCTGCTATATTCACATCCAAATCACTTATATAAATGACAAGAAGCAGTGGACCCAGCACCAATCCTTTCGACACATCACTGGTCACAGGCCTCCAGTCCAAAAAGCAAATCTCCACCATCACCCTCTGTCTCCTAACTTCAAGCCAATTTTATATCCAATTGGCTTGGTCCCTCTGGATCCCATGTGATCTAACTTTACTTACTTATCATGTGGAACCTTGTCAAAAGCTTTGCTGAAGTCCATATATACAACGCCTACTGCTCTGCCTTCAACAATCTTCTTTGTCATCTCTTCAAAAAAAAACTCAATGATGATAGTAAAACATGATTTTCCATGTACAAAGCCAAGTTGACAATCCCTAATCAGTCCTTGCCTGTATAAATACACGTAAATCCTGTCCCTAAGAATCCCCTCCAAAAACCCAACCACCACTGACGTAGGGCTCAACAGTCTATAGTTCCCTGGCTTTTCCTTGCTACCTTTCTTAAATAATGGCACCACATTAGCAAATCTCCAGCCTGCTGGTACCTCACCTGTGGCTATCGATGAGATAAATAGCTCAGCAAAGGGCCCAGCAATCTCTTCCCTAGCTTCCTAAAAAGTTCTGGGAAGCACCTGATAAGGGATTTATCTGGCTTTGTGAGTTTTAAAACCTCCAGCACCTCCTCTTCTGTCATATGAACTTTTTTCAAGACATCACCATTTATTTCCCCAAGTTGCTTAGCTTCCATGTCCTTCTCCACAGTGAATACTGATGCAAATATTCACTTAGTATCTCCATACCCAGCTTTTCACTTACTGGTTCCTGCTTAAATTACCGGGGATGTGAGCAACTGGATGGACCTGGTGAGGATTAAGTACAGCAGTAGGCTTCAGAAGCCGAAACCATTCAATGGCATGCTGAGTGAAGTGTGTGGGGCTTCCTAGAAGCTGCTTGGCTATCCACTGTGGAGGGAACTTTGGAAATGAGGTAGAACTGGGAAGTCCTCCTTGAATAATGGCAGAATTATGAAATGCAATGGATTTATTGAGTAAATCAGAACAAGTACAAGTCATGACACTTCTATCACTGTTGGGAGGAGACTGTTTCAGAATAGGTTCCACCCTAAGTCTCTCTGAATGTCAGAAAGAAAACAGAGCAGAAATTTTAAAAGCTTTGAAAGCATGTTTTTAGCCCCAAAGGAATTACGTGTGAATGGTACGTATTACAGTGACAAATAGTCTATTGATCAAAATGTAATATTATTACTTAGGTAGCAGATACCTGTGCATTTGCACAGTTAGAGGGTGAGTTAGTTAGAGACAGGATTATATTAGGATTTAGATTCAAAAGTAAAAGCACACAACCTGAGAGAAGATAGAATTACACCAGGAGAGCAACTGATTGGTGCAGTGTTGCCGATCTTGTGAATCAACAACCAGAGCACATACATGGTAGTACAAAGCAAGTCTTGCATTAGGCTAACAGATCCTCCAGGTACACAGAGCAGAACAATCACACACAGGACAGAATGCACACATTGCAGAAGACATCATGCAAAAGAGAAGAAGGCATGTCAAGCAAAGAGAAACCAGTGTTCTCATTGCAAAAAGCAGAATCATTTTGCACAAAGCGACTAAGAAGCACAATGAACAAGTACAGATGGCCACCAGAGAGTTAATGGCTGAACGTTCTGATGAACCACTATGCACCATACAGCAGGTTGGTTCAGTTAAGTTAAAAGGTGAGCCAAGGTTTGTGACTGTTGTAGGGAGTGCTATCTGGTTTATTGTTCACCAGCTCCCTGGTACTGACACTGGACTTAATTTAGGAATGTGAAGTGAAGAAGGCATTAGAGAGGTGTTTCAGGGCAAAGAATCTCTGTGTTTATTAAATGCAAAGGTGAGTATATCACAACAAATAAAAAGGTGTAAGTAATAAACAGGGAAATAAAACAAAGGTGAATAAAATACCAGAGTTTAAAAAAAGCCAATTCAAAACAGTGAAACTGACACTATCAGTTATTAACTTAACACAGGCTAATTACTATTAGAAACTAAACAGTAGTTTCAAACACAGACATTTTAATCAGACTTCCTGACCTTGGGGTGCCCTGCACTGCCACCAACCAACCTTCCCCTCCCTGCTAGCTGGGTTGGATACTTTGGGTCTCGAGGAAATAGGCTCACCACTGGGGATAAACACAATTTTGAAATACAGCTGTTAGAGATAGTAGGAACTGTTTCCACTTGCTGTAGCCAACGAAGACTTCAGACGGTGTTCAGTCTGGTTTGAGAACTTGTGTTTTCTTACTTTGTGGTGATTTTGCGAGCCGGTTTTTTCCTCAGGATGTGTCTGAGGCCTTGTCAGTCATGTTGGTGGTTTTCGGAGGTCGTCGGTCGTCGGTCGTCAGATCTGCCGGTCGTGTTCGGTTGCCGTTGGTTCCCCTGGTACGGAACAGCCCTGTGTCGGTAGGTTACAGGGATATAGCCGTGCAGATAGCTCTCGGGGTAACTGTCTGGGATCCCTCTTCTGTTGGCAGCTGCAGGAATGGCTCTCTCCCTCCCTCTCCCAGATCAGGGCCAGCAGTTATATAGACTGTGTGTTCCGTTATCACCGCTCAAATCTGTGTTCTCCATTGTATTTCTGTTGACCTCTTTTGTGGTGAATTGGCTTCCTGATGGTTTAGAGTAGGGGTAAATGTATTTTGATTCAGCAGAATGTCCGGTATTTCTGCGAATGAATATTAATTGAAGTTGAATGCCTTGGTACCTCTGAAGAGTCCAAGATGTCTGAAGTTGTTGTCTTAGGTCTGGTTCATTGTTCCTTTAGGGCTGAGGCATGAATAAGATTTCTAACTGACAGCTATCCCTGTGATTGCATATTCCAGAGCGTAGTCCAGCTGCCTTTTTCTTTTGTTTTAAAAGTTCTGTTAAATATCGAGGTGTTTTTGACCAGCGTTCTAAATGACAGGGATTTTTGCTCACTCCTACGCTATTGGAATGAGGATTACAGAAGGATAACATCAGATCAACATAAAACATCTGATAAACACTGGTCATCATGCAACATGAAATTCACAGATTTGTGCAAAGTGGTTCAACATGGTGATCCAAAAATGAAACCCACAAAAGTAAGGTTAAAGCTTTACAATGGCACCATACTTATGCCTAGAAGATAGCTTACTTTGCAAAATTTCAAAACCCACTATCTTCACCATGTGGATGAGCAATGGCTGCAGATGCATGAGAGCATCACCACCTGCAGGTTCCCCTCCAAGTCACATGCTATCTTGACTTGGAATGATGTCATTTCTTTGGTGCCACTGGGTCAAACCCCCTGCAATTGTCTTCC